AAGATGATCACTTATGGACAGATGCCTCAGTCTTTGAGAGACGGGGCTGTGATGTAAGTAATGTTGGATCACCGGTGTAAAAAAAATGAATGGGCATGGCCTTAACATAATAGACTGATATATCGGTGGTACCTTTGGGTGTCAATCATCGAATTGGACATGTGGAGCACTTGGACCAAGTGCAAAGGTTTAGTGGTATAAATGTCATTCTCGGGGTTAGCCAAGTCCGGAATAAAACTTATGAAGGTTGTGAGTGAGACTCTTTCAAGTGTTGAAGGTGTGGTTAAGTGACTAAAGTAAAATGAAAAAATTAGTTATATACAATCCCCTCCGAGTGGATTAAGACATCATCAATAAAGTCAGTCATCATCACAATCGTCAAACTATCCAAATGTGTGCTTAAAAATATTTGGGAAAATGCTCCAATTGGCACAAGTGGCTACATTTAAACCATTGTACCATTGCAATGCTATCCCTTAGAAACATTTGGGAAACTTACATAAATGCCAAGTATTATCCCAAGAATGATAGGTAATAATCACCATAAAATGATTAAACTAATGGTACACATCATCCCCAATATTCCCATAGAAGAATTCCAGTTGGACGTGGAGATTGGCAGTAAAAATGAAAGTTGTACATAGTATTGTGAATGTCACCGTCAATTGAGTGTGATTTTTTATTTGCAACCATATAACTTGCACCAATTACTACTCTAGAGTCAAAGAAGAAGGTTGCTGCAAAAGAAGAAATTGAAAAAGTTATAAAGAAAGTGAGATCTAGAGTATGCAAAATTTAAATCTAAACCAAAATTCTAAATCCAAGCACTTCTTAGAGATAATCAAGATTTCCCCTCATCTTCTCCAATATAAGTGCATGGAATATAGAAAAAGAATACAGAAATCTACACATTAATTAGCCTAAAACAACCTTAGCCACTTATATACCAAATTAAAATCAATCTGACAGGTATCAAAAGCCCACTATAGTAATATTAGTATACAGTATTATAGCTATAGACTTAGATCTCACACCACTAAATTATTTTTATATTATTATATATATTTATTATTTTTATTTTATTTTTATTTGATAAATTCTAACATAATACTTATAAGAAATATTTAAAGATCCACTTGTTCTACTTAGGGTTATTACTGCTAAATATAATTATATTTCTTAACTTTATTATGAAGTTATTATTAAAAAAATTAACATAAAATACTAAAGTATATATTGTCAAGAGCTCATTGTGGAGAGAAGGAGATATAATAAAATTCACAGAAATATTAAATAATAAAGGAGGAAAATGGATTTATGTTAAACATTCTAAGTATAAAGTCTTCAAAACCTTCAACACATCCTAGGTATGAGTCTATATTAATCTTAGATCCCTTCCATATGAATAACATATCATTAAAGGTTTAAGGCTCAATTCTTACTATTATAAAAATTAATGAATATAATCGTTAGTAAATAAAAAGATATAGTAAATATATAACATCATCCCCTTTGATGCTGAACACTAAATAGTAACTAAATTTGTGTGAAATAAGGTTTAAATGCCTGATAAAATTTATAATTAGCTCAAAAGTATAAGCAAATTGGAAAATAAATTCTTAAATACAATCTCTAAAAGAGTGACTAAGGCCAAATAATAAGTTTATGATATCAATACTAAGTTGAAATATAAATGGGATCAGAAATGATAATATTTTAATAAAGTGCAAAATGAAAGCCCATGAATGGTGAAAGATTGAATCGAAAAATGATTTTAGAGATGCAAAAGAGCACAAAAAAAAGGACCTAGACATTAATAATCAAATTTAGAACACAGAAATATAATCTTTTAATAAGCTTAACTATTGATCCATTTTGGAAAGAATGACTAAGTTAGAGAAAATTATCAATTGCACAGAAATAAGCAGTTTGAACACAAGAAAAATAATGATGAACTTCCTTATGAAAAGAATCCCAAGTGGTAACAAAGCAATAATAGAATCATTTATAAAGGAAATGAATATTACTCACAAGGATAAAAACCATAGTTAACAAAAAATTAGATATTATGTGCTAAAGAGTGCTAGAAATTATTATAATTAACTCAATAAAAAAAAGGAGAAAAACATAATTATCTTATTATTAGAAAATAAAAAATCCATATTACTACTTAAAATTTTGAATAGTATAATTCAATTAGTTATCTGTTTGAGGATGGTGAGAAGTTGATAATTTGCTTTTGATATAAATGAAAGATGGAAATAAACTAAGGCTCTTGATCATTAATAATATTGTTCAATAGTCTATAGAGATGAATAATCTTGCAAATAAGATTAGCCAATTGTTATTCATCAATAATCTTTTGATATGGTAAAACATTTTTCATTCGGGAAAATTGGTAGACCACAATAAAAACATTATCAAATCCTTGAGGAAGTGGAAGATTAATTAATATAATTCATAAAGCTAGATTTTTCAAAGCAGTAGAGTAAGAAAAAGAGGTTAAAGGAGTTTATGTAAAACATGTTAAGGCATTTGGTTTGTTAATGCATATTGTACATACAAAAAAAGTTTTTAGCATACTTGATTAAAATTAATTCTAATATCTTGTAGACACTTAAACTCCCTATTATTTAGGAGTTATAACACACTTATAGTGATAATTTACCCCTCTACAAGATCAATAGAATAATTAAAAGGTTGATACAATGGCAAGATGTTAAATCTCCTTTATAAAAAATATCCTCAAATTTAGCATACTTTTAAGGTAAGAGTGGATTTGTTCCTAATAAATGAAGTTGATGTTAAATGAATAACAATTACAAAGACAAAATCAAAATTTTGATAACTAACATTTCAAAATTTATATGAAGAAATATGCTAAATTTTAATTAAAAAATCATGAGAATAATACTTAAATGAAGGGAAACTTTTTCAATCATTAAACCACATCTATTACACTATTAAATTCACAAGATCAAATCAAAAAAGATTAAAAAATGATAAAGGTCTTTGAGATAAAGATACCAACTTAATTTATGTTTGATGAGCCCAAAAGAAATTTATTGACCATCCATCACTTCAACACAAGTTGAACAATGTAAAAAAGAATGCCACAATAAAGAGAAAAATTTTTGTCAATGAAATTTTTATCAACACCACTATCACTTAAAACTTGAAAAGAGAAATTAAACTTAATGAATTCAAATTGAGTAATAATTTAGAAATGTTTAAAGATTCATAAAGAAGGAATGAACTCAAAATGACAAATATAAAGGGAAAGTGGTTATAAGAAAAAGTGCACTCCCTTTATTAATTGGTTAAAGGTTTTAGGATACTTAATTTAAAATATTGTAGATGATTTGGATTCTTATGAATCATTTCTCAAATTTTTAATTTTTTTTTTCTGCTTACAACTTATTACGCTTTCTTAAAAATTCATACCCTCGTGAACAAAAGCTAAGAGTTACACCTCTCCCAAAAGCTTTAATCTTTTGACACCTTACCTCATGTCAAACCCAATTGGACCAAATTAAATATACTAAATGTTAATTTTAACATATGGTGTGATTCTTTTAATCAATCAATAAATTCAAATCTGATACCTCTGTAATATCAAATGTAAACTTTTGAATTTGAACTTCTTGTGAGGTCATTCATCTTGGGTATTAGTCAAATGTAAAAATGATAACTTTAAATATTCTAAATTTTTTAACTAATTGGAAAAGGGGGTACATTTTTTTTATGGGCTCTTTCCCTCTAAACCCTTATAGATTTTTTATCAAATTATTCTCTTTAATTGAAATGAATATTTTCATTCTCCATGAGCCTAATAGCAAGTGCAAGGATAAGGACATTACTCCTATAAGTGATCTTTATGGCTATAATATATCCAAAGGTAGTTCATGATTAGACATTGTCTTTTAGCATTAGAAAGATACTATTAATATATGACTTCAATCTTGATTGTAATAACATATTACTCATGTGTTGGTTGCTCCAAGACTAGGGTCATTAGATGAGGAACAAAGGTTTAATGATGATGTCTCAATTGATATTCTTCTTATTATCAAAATAAATAACAAAAACATTGGTAATCATGAAAGATATTAGATTTAGATAATAAAGCATGAGATCTTTGATATCCTCACAAATGCCAAGGTGGAAATATCCCTTATGAACTACATTGTATTATGAAATATTAATGGTTACCATTTGGAACTTTGATGTTAAGCATAGTGCAATTGTTACAACTTATTAATGGTGATGTGCTTTTGATCAGTATTGCTGAACATGCTAGTGAAGTGTTAAACAAAGAGATCAAGGTTCTAAAGAATATAGAAAACCAAGAAAGAGGTATCATAGTAAAATTAATCTCATAAGTTAAAGTAGAAAATTAATTAGGTTACATGGTGCTTTGAAGTCTAACTTGGTTGAGGAAGCCACAAAACTTAGATCATATGTTATTAAATTTTGCTAGCATACTAAAATTTAATTTGAAACCAAGAAGTAGTTGGTGTTCAATAATTTATTGGAGTTATGAGTGAAGTGTTATATTATATTGCTCTAACACTTGATATGACTTCCACACAGTAATAAAATCTGATTGGAGCTAAAAAAAAGAACCCATTGATATCTTAAGAAATTTCAAAGTAAATACACAAGTGAAATTAATATACCACTATATAAAAAAAACTATTTTAATCATAATTAAAATATCTACATGAAAGAGAAGATAATTAATGGAGAAGAAAATACCAAAATAATAATTAAGTAAAATGATAATAAATTCTATAATGCTATACAAAAACTAGATTTTATGGTACTACATAGTTCTCCCATTTTACTGAAAATTTTAAAAATATTGAGATTATATATCATGAAAGGATTTACATAAAAGCAAAGGTAAGAGTAGCAACAAGAGAAAATAAGAAGAAAACAGGATAGAACAGATATAGATATTTTAATTATGATTAAAATCTTTTTTTGTTGTATATGAATTTTATTTGTGTATTTACTTTTAAAAGTAAAAGAGAAAGCATCATTTTCAGCTGAATGTCTAATTTGACATCGACAAAATTGTGTTAGACATCAATACATATGGAGCTGACTGCTCTTCTTTGATTAAATGACTGCCCATCTCAAACACTCGGGCTGCTCTGACCGTGTCCCGATGCATTTTACATGCACCGAGTAGAGTTGACCACGCCGTACTATCTGCCTCGTATGGCATATAGTTGACCAAGTCCTCCGCCTCCTCAAGACGTCCACTCCGTCCAAGGAGGTCAACCATGCACACATAGTGGTCCAAGATAGGGAAAAGGTGGTAGTCACCACATATAGAAACGAAGTGATTGATTCCAGTTTTCAGTAATCCCACCGCACTACACGAAGAGAGAATGCTCATAAAAGTGACTTCGTCCGGATGGATGCCCTCTATGTCCATCTTTCCAAAGAAATCAAGGGCTTCCTTGTTCCACCCAGCCTGGGCAAATGCCGAAAGCATGGTGTTCCAAGTAACAAGGTCTCGATCTCCAGCCATCTTCTCAAACATTTCGAGCACTGCATCCAAATTTCCACACTTGCCATACATGTTGATGATCGAGTTTCCAGCCAGAGTTCCAGCCTCGAGCCTGGCTTGGATCATCTCTCCGTGGATCAAGGTGCCCTCTTCCAGCACGGAGAGAGTCGTGCAAGCTTCAAGGATTGCGAGGAAAGTTTGCTGGTTTGCTCGAAACCCTTCCAAGTCCATTGTTGCGAAGAGCCTCATTGATTCCTTTTGTTGATCACGCCGAGCATAAGCTTCGATCATCGCGTTCCAAGACACCACGTCTCTCTCGAGCATCCTATCAAATAAGTGCCGGGCTTCAACTAGATCCCCGCTTTGGGCGTAGGCCGTCACCATGCTCGTCCATGCAACCACGTCCTGGTGGGGCATTTTATCAAACATGGCTCTAGCTTCCACAAGCCGGTCACTTTGAGCGTAGGCCACGACCATCACCGTCCAAGATACTGTGTCTTTGGAAGGCATTGCGGAAAACACACTTCCAGCCATTTCCAAGTCGCCACGCTCAGCATAACCGGCAATGAGCGTGTTCCAGGACATGTTATTTCTTTGTGGCATTGAATCAAACGTTTCTTTGGCTTGATCTAAATCGCCACTTTGAGCGTATGCTCCCACCATTGTCGTCCATGAGATCACATCTTTCTTGGGCATTTTATTGAAGAACCTTTCCACCGCCTTTATATCTTCTTGTTGGGCATACGCTCCAAGCATAGTGTTCCATGATGCTTCGTCACGAATGGGATTTTTCTCAAAGAAGAGACTTGCCTCTTTGACGAGCCCGTGCTGGACATACCCGGCTAGCATTGCATTCCAAGAAACGGAATCTCTCCGAGGCATTTCGTCAAAAATCTTTCTTGCCTTGACGAGGCCACCACTTTGGGCATAAGCTGTGATCATAGTGTTCCATGAAGTTACATCCGGCTTTGGCATTTTGTCAAAAAGATCTTGTGCTTGCTCCAGCTTTTTGTGATGAACGTAGGCTCCAATGATCGAGTTCCAAGCCATGGTGTTTCGATTTGGCATGGAGTCGAACAACAGCCTTGCTTGATCCAAATCACCTTTCTCCGCGTAAGCAGTAAACATTGCCGTCCACGAGACTGTGTCTTTTACTGGCATCTCATCAAAAACTTTTCGAGCTTCTAAAATATCCCCGTTCTTTGCATATGCTGTGATCATGGTGTTCCACGAGACAACATCCTTGCACGGGTTTAGATCAAACAACTTTCTCGATTCGCAAATATCTCCTTTCTGGGCATATGCAAAGATCATGAAGTTCCAAGAAACTTGGTCTCTCTCCTCCATCTTCTCAAAATAAGTTCTAGCTTCTTGCAGATTTCTGCTTCTCGCAAATGCCTGTACCATGATGTTCCAGGTGACAATGTTCTTTTCCGGCAGGGTTTCAAATATCAAAACCGCTTCCAAAACAAACCCATTCCGGGCAACTGCTGCAAGGACAATGTTCCAAGTAAAAACATTCGGATCCGGCATGTTGGAGACAACAAAACAAGCTTCTTCGAGATTCCCACACCGCCCATACATGTCAACAAGGAGATTGCAAAGATATCTGCTGCCATCTAGTCCCTGGAGAAGGATTTCCCGGTGGAGCTGTGTGGCTTGCGAGAGATTCTTGGAGACTCCACACAATTTTATCACCCGTGCGTAGCGATCGACCACTTCCTTCTCTACACAGGGCCGCTGGGCCTCTTGGCTTCTCGCGCGTCCACTAAGCTTGAGCAGCATATCATGTTTTTTAAAAAAGTCGAATATGCCGCCAGTATCTTTAAGATCCTGCCACGTCGGCGAGGTTTTTAGGGCAGACGCATTCCACTGTGAGAGTGAGCTCGGCAAGGCGCGAGGAATTTTGATTTGGGAGGCGCCATTTCTCCATCCAGGTATAGATCCGCGCGCGCTTGAATCCCCGGCGCTCGCGATCGAAATGGGGGCGCTGGCCGTCTCCGGGACCGCGCAGATCAAGCAGCTGTTCGAGGAGCAGCACAAGTACCTGGATTTCTTCTTCGCCAATCTCGACTACGCCCAGATCCAGGCCTTCACGGACCTGTGCCTGGCCGCCGAGGGCGTCATATTCTTCTCCGGCGTGGGCAAGAGCGGCTACATCGCCCAGAAAATCTCCCAGACGCTCGTCTCCACGGGCACCAAGTCGGTGTTCCTCAACCCCACGGATGCCTTGCACGGCGACATTGGCATGGTGGGATCCAAGGACTTGGTGGTGTTGCTGAGCAAGAGTGGCGCTACCGAGGAGCTCTTGAGACTAGTGCCGTGCTTGAGAGCCAGAGGAGCGTTCGTGGTGGGGATCTCTTCGCTGCTAAACTCGCAGCTTAGCCGGGTGTGTGACATGCACGTCCATTTGCCGCTCGAGAGGGAGCTCTGCCCGTTTGATCTCGCGCCGGTGACTTCCACCGCCATCCAGATGCTCTTTGGCGATACGGTGGCGATTGCGCTCATGCAAGCGAAGAATCTGACTAGGGAGGAGTATGCTCTCAATCATCCGGCTGGTCGCATTGGCAAGAGACTCATCTTTCGAGTACGTGATTTCTTCCTTTTCTTTCTCTTTTCTCTTGTTGCTTGGTTTGTAAGTTTGTTTTCGTATCTCGGCTTTCAAAGCTGTTTTTTTTGTCCTCCAAGACTTGGTCTGGTTTGTTCGTAGCGTAGCTACTTGGTTACCGGATTTTTAATTGTTTCTGTTTTCTTTTGTCTCTTTTCTCTTTGTTTTGTTGTTTTTTCTCTTCGTTTTTCTGCGTGATTTTCTTGTTTATATCTTTACCATCGTAGATTGACGATTTTTTTCTATCATCCATCTCTAAGGTTCGAGATGTCATGAAGAAAGGAGACGAACTTCCACTATGCAAGGAAAACGATCTGATAATGGAGCAGCTCTTGGAACTCTCTGCAAAGGGCTGCGGTTGTCTTCTCGTCGTCGACGACAACAGGCAGCTTCTTGGTACCTTTACCGATGGTGATCTCCGTCGAGCACTCAAGTCCAAGAGGGAGGAGGTTTTCAAGCTGACCGTCGGGGAGATGTGCAACAGGTATGCAGGAAACCTCCAAGCTTCTCTCGTCATTGTCATAGCTGTTTTCTTTTTCTTTCTCCAGATCTCCGCGAAAAACAACGGCAAATGCGATGGCTGTCGATGCCATGCAGATAATGGAAGGGCCTCCATCCCCCGTCACATTTCTTCCCGTGGTGGACGAAACTGGCATTGTAATCGGGATCGTTAAGCTTCATGACTTGGTTTCCGCTGGCCTGTGACTTATATAACTTCGCACACACACACAGGTTACTTCTCGGTGGCTTCTAGATACTGAGTTTCAAAACTGTGGTTCTCCAGGAAAAGTGCTGCCGGACAATAACACTTGTACTCTACAACTTCGCTTCTGTGTCGGTTTGTAAGTTTTTCTCAGGCGAAGGCGTTTATTCGCTATCATATGGACCACTTCTTCTAGTACTTACCGGTAAATGAATTTAACTATCCTTCTGCCCTGTTGGCATATTGTTTTCGGCACTCAGATCTGCTTTGGTATGACTTTCGTGTGCCTTCTGATGTTTGTTTTAAAGCTCTCAGGGGCTGCATAACCAGCATGGATTACTCTGGTCGGGAAAGCTCAGTTTCTTTCATTTCCTGTTTTTTTTTTTCTAAGGCGTGCTGAGAATTCGTGCAGGCAGGCAAGGAAAGAAAAAGAAAAACTCTCGTGAGAATCTCGTGTTACTTCAGACAAACAAGAGCATGGTGCTCCTGCAAGTTCTTTCAGCTTCACTGGTAAAGCAAGCAAGGTACTCATCAGTTAAATGCTCCAGAACTGATCACTTTCCTAGCACAAGAGACAGGGAAGACGAGCAGTTCACACAATCGGGCTGCTCCCAGGAAGAAAAAGAGAAAAACAAAAACAAAAATAGCAAAACGAAAACGTTGATCCTTCGCAGAAGCGTAAACTGGCGAACGCTCCCCGTTGTAAGGTTTGCAAGAGCTTTTCGCTCCTCGCTCTCTAGCTAACTATTCTGGCCTCTACAGTAAATGGACAGCGAGGAAGATCAGTATCGCCAACAGGGTTTTGTGTCATTCTGGACGTACATCAGGATCACCGCTGTCTCGAGTCGCTGTCAACGAGGCCTACCAATTGCTCGGCTCAATTCAGGGGGCTGATTGCGATGGAGCTCCGCATTTGTTAATTTGTGAAGACAATGCCAGGTAGTTTGCTCTGGCTCCTGCTGCTGCTGGTTTTAATTCGATTTTTTCTTTCTCTCTTTCACTCTCTTTGTTGCGCTTGCAGTACGATATCAGATTGGTGATCTGTGCCCGGCTAGATCTCCTCCCGAGGACCTGTGCTCGTCGCTCCGCTTTAGCTTTTCTTATAAGATTGTTCTCGGACACTGATCGTGAGGTTTACAGATAAAAAGCCACCGGAGTCGAGAGATTCGCTACGAGAAAGCGAGCTGGTTTCCAGTACCTCTCTCAAGATCTCTTTTGGAAGGGACTGTGGAGATATAGCCGTCCATATTCCCATGTTTCAAAGCTTTGGACGCTAGAAACACACACGACGGACAAACAAGCTGTGGCTTAAAAGGGTGGCCTTTTGCATTTTGTACCACCCTCAGAGTAATGGTGAACATGTGCTCGCTGGCTTTCTAAACTTTTCTCAACACTGACTGGGTGATCGATCGCCCCTCCTTCACACTCCATCGAATTCTTATTTTCATGATCTTCACCATCGGCTTTAGAACAATTCACAATGATTTTGCCTTGTGGGTCGAGGGAGCGAATCATGTTTTGTCTGCTTTATCGCAAAGTATTTTTGATCTCCAGCAGCTGCAGTGTAAAAAGTAAAAACGAAAAACATGCGGGTGAAAAACTTGGATGGTGCACGCGTGTGCTGGAAACGAATCATCAGGACCATTCTCTGCTCTTGGTGTTTTCTTTGTATTGCTTCTTGGGCAGTCAGCCAGGCAGGACCAGCTGCTCCCAGCAATCATTTACTCCCAAAGCAGAGCCAAAGAGAAAATTTGCCAGGTATTTGTTCCTGGGTGATTTGGGAAACTTCAGAGGAGAATTAAGCACACACCAGGACTTCATGAACCAGGTCCCATTCTACAACCTTACACCAGCCAGCAGAAGCAGCTAGCAACTGCGAAACTGATCGCTCAGCCCAGATGTTACTGCCACCCAGGAAAACAGAGAAAAAATATGAAAAAATTATGAGGAAGATGAAAAATTGCAGCTTTTCGAGGTGAATGGAGAATTGGCAGCTTTGCCCATAATTTTTTAATCCAATATCTCTGCCTGCTGTCTCTACAAATTAGTTAGATCACTGTTGCATGCTGTGAAAATTTTGTCTGACCATTTTTCTTGGCTGTGGACTATGACCAGGCCACCTCCATCCCTCTTTATTCCTTGGACAGGATTGAGCTAGCTATGTTGTGGGGCACCAAGCAAGCAATTGCACCATGAGGAGGGAGGAGCAAAAGATTTCCAGAGACAGGCCCAAATTGGCTGTCCAAGGAAAACAAAACTCAACACTCACAAACAAGGTCAACTGTTTTTTATTCTCAAACACAACAATGGATGATCTCAAGTCTGGGCTCTTTTTAACAACACCACCACACCAGCACATTTGAATTGATTTGGTTTTGGGATCTTGTCCCTTTGTGTACTTTTTGTAGAGGATTATATAGTTTGAGAGAAAGCCTAGCTCTAGCTATGCATGTCTTTTCAGGCAAATTACTTTGTTTTCCCTGGGCCACCTTGCAAGCAGGGGGATGTTTGGAAGCTACCATACCCAAAACATTAGCCTTGATTCAAGGCCAAGAAATGCAAAAACTAAGAGTAAACTTCTCACAACCATGTGGTTGCATATGCCTTGTTTTTCAGGAGAGGATGTAAAATTTTCATGTAAGATTCAATGCGTTTGTTTTGCATGGCTACAAGAAATTTTAATATGCTCTTTGAGAGTGATGGGATTCGATCCCCGGTCGGATCACAAACTAATTAAGTTCGTTACGGGTACTGGGAATCGAACCTCCGAACTGTTCTCAACGGTCATCTAAGTGGTGGCGCCGACCACCGGTCTGAAGATCCGGTCGGCAAGATTACCCGCCGGTCAGCGGCGGCGGGGTTGCCACGCGGGAGAGGTGAAAGGTAAAAAAGAAAAAAAGAAAACCAAAGCAAAGCAAGGAAAGCAAAGCGTGCCCTGGCTTGCTCTAGCACGGGGAGGAAAGCAAACGGGCATATTTCTCTTGCGCTCTAGGCTAGCTCGAGCTCGCGATCTTGATCTTGACCGATATTTCGAGCGCCAATCCGGCGCCGTTCCGCCGATAGATCTGAATTGCGGGGGAAATTCCCGGCTATCGATCGATCCGCGGAGATGCTGAGCTGCGTCGTCGGCCAATGCAGGTGATGGAAGCGCGAGCACGGCGAGTGGAGGAGGCTATGCCGCCCGCCGGCGGTGATCGTAAATGTAAGCGTGAGAGGTTTCTATCATCTCCATTCCTCTCTTTTCTTGATTTCTTGCTTTCATTCCTCTATCGGTTTCCGATTCATTCATCGCTGTGCCGTGTACTCTGTCCCTCTTTCTCCCAAAGGCGTGAACGAATGTGAAAAAGATTGGAGGCAGTACCAGTGATTATAGCGTAGCTCCTCGTCCTGGTTGCGTATATCCTGTTTTTCTCGAGAATTTGGTCGAAGTGATCGCTTGATTCTTTCTTTCCTTTTCTTCCTTGCTGGAGCTAAGAACTGGACAAATCCTTTGATTATTCCAGCCACAGAGTTCCTTCTACGGTACGAAGAGATCGCAAATTTGGGGCATTCGCGCAAGCGGCAGGGGCAGCTGATGCGGCAATCCTCGTAGCGTCTGGCCAGAAAGGAATGGATGGAAGAACACGGTGCTGATTTTCATTGAGTTAGAAGATGCTAAGGAGAAGCCTTGTCGCAAGCGAAGAATACGAATTCGCGAATGGGGGTTCGCGCAGCAGCGGCGTGGAGTGCTGTCCAGGGCCTGGGTTCTTCTGATATAAAATTGGGATTCACGGATTTTCGCCAAGAAAGGTGAGTTCTTCTTCTTGCCGCAAATTTAAAGCTTCTCAATTGTTTCCATCGTGATCTTTCAGAGCAGCTTATGCACCGGAGAGAGTGTCAATGCTGCAAGGTAGAAGTAGGCACACCAGAGTCGGGAGCAAAAACGATGTAAGCTTCTTTTCTTGCTCCTTGCGCGTTTTGATAGTACTTTTTTTCTCTCTTTTTCTTTTTTTCTTGTTGCATTCCCGTGATCAGTCGAGATCTGATAACTTTTTTTGTTCGAAGGTCGTTGTCGGGCGAAGGAATGGGCTTAGGGAGCGGCGAATTGAGCTGGAGCAAGATGTATGTCTACGTTCTGGATTCATATGGTTGATATCTTTTGTCGTGTGTTTGTCAGGTCGCGGGGTTGCGAAGGAAGCTGATCCAAGAGGAAAATGTCCACAAGGCACTGCAGCGAGCTTTCAATCGACCAATCGGGGCGATACCCAGAGTTCCACAGTATCTTCCGGCTAAGGTATGCTTCTAGAGTTAAATTTGAGCAAAGGCATTAATATGTTCATTTATTTGCTGCAGACCCGGAAGCTCCTGGCCGAAGTAGCAGTCCTAGAAGAAGAGGTGGTGCGGCTGGAGGACCGTGTACTGTGCTTACAACAGGATTTAACCGATGAAGCCGTCTACACGTCAATGTTCTCTTCACAACAGAAAGCCGATGCAGCGGCCAGCTTGAGGAAAGCCAAGCTGTTTTCGGCCGGAGATAAGCGAGCAGCAGCAGGGAAGAAGGACGTTTTGATCGCACAGCTACTGCCGTCGGTAAGAAAGGATGACCAACAACACCAGCAACAAAAGCAACAGCAGGAAGTGGCTACTGAAAGCGTGAAGAAGAAAGGCTTGCAAGTTCAAAAGGCATCTATAGCCAACGAGGTATCCAATCCGGATCAAGCCACGAACAGGAATTTACACAAGTCTCAGCTGCTCAACTCGAATGGATTCGTGAAAGGTGTCAGGGAGAAGTACTTTGGGATCGGCCCGAACGTTAAGCTATCCGTCATTCAAGAGGAAGAACGTGAGAAGGAGAATCTGCAGCAGCAACAGCTCAAGAAAGCCAATCAGGACGTTGAGACTGTTACATTTCCCAGAGAAGAGACGGACAAGGAACTATTACCAGCAAGCACCACACCGAAGGTACGTAATTTGTAAGTTTATTCAGACTTTTGCTTTTCTTTGGTTGAGTGACACGAGTATGGTTTTATTTACAGACCGAGCTTCATACAAGTTTTAAGGCTCCAACAGTCTCCGCAAAACCTCCCACTCCTACTGCTTCTGCCGAGAAGTCGAAGCTGAGCGGACCAAACAGGGTCTCTGAAGAGCTGGTGAAGTGCCTGATGGGAATCTACGGAATGATGACGAGACTGTACTCGCTCTCCGATTCGGACGCCTCGTCCGTTATTTCCAGGTCCACATTCTCGAGCTTTAGCTCGCAGACAAAGAGCTCCTCCTCGAGCAGCTACACGACGGCCAAGAACGCCTCGGATTTCTCACTCGAGCTCGACCGTGATCCATATGGAGTCTGCTGCCAAGGATGTCAGTCTCGGGACGTCGGTCCCTACAGGCACTTCCAGAACATTGGTGCCGATTCCTTTGACTACAGCAGGATACCAAACTCGGCATCCTTGTTCCGGAGACTGAGGTGAGATTGTGATTGTATCTTTTCCAGATACTTAATTCTTTTCTTTCTTGCAATCGATGCAGAGTTTTGATAGGCAAGCTGGCGGGGGTCGATCTACAACATATGACTCGACAGCAGAAGCTGGCATTTTGGATTAACGTATACAACGCATGCATGATGCATGTAAGTTTTTGTCCGGCTTCGTGTTTGTCTTGTTTTTAATTCTCGCTTTACACCCGACTCCACTCGCTCACACTTCCGTCATGCTTGTGTAGGCTTTTCTCGAATACGGGATCCCTTGTGGTCCTCATCAAGTTGTTGGGCTTATGCGGAAGGTATGCTATAGAAGTGTGTCTGATCTGCTAATCCCATTTTCATTCATCTCCAGGCAACGCTAAATGTCGGAGGATACACACTCAACGCTCTTGCAATCGAGCACTTTATCCTCCGCCTTCCCTCCCACTCAAAACAAGTAAGCTATTCTCTCCTCTATACCAATCAAGTCACGGCTGATGGATGGATCTTTCTGCTTTGCCAGGCTTTTGTAAAGCTAACAAGTAAAGATAAGGCACACATCCAGAACAACTTGGGACTTGAGTGGCCCGAGCCACTTGTCTGCTTCGCACTTTGCTGCGGTAGCAAGTCTTCACCAGCTGTAAGTTTGTCTTTGTTTTTCTGTCTTAGAAAAAAGGAAAGAAATCACGGAACGTTCTTCCAGGTTCGCGTGTACACAGCTGGCGACGTGGAGAACGAGCTGGAGGCCGCAAAGAAGGAGTACCTCCAGGCGGCGGTGGGAGTGAGCCAGAGCAAAGGCAAAGTCCTCATCCCAAAGCTGCTCGACTGGAACCTGCGGGTGTTTGCGAAGGACAGGGAGTCCCTGGTGGAGTGGATCTGCGACCAGCTCCCGGGCGACCTCCAGCGCGAGCTCCAGAGATGCATCGGGCGCTGCTCGCCATCGCCGCCCCTCCAGGTGATGCCATATGACTTCAACTTTCGTTACTTGTTGACAGCGTAGAAGCAAAAGCCCGGTCCAACGAGAGAGAATCAAACCGGGGAAAGCTCGAGGATTGATCAGCCTGATCAAGTCACTGTGACACAGGACAGAGAAAAAGGAGAGAACCATCGCCGCCGCTGCCTCGCTGCCACCGTCGCCGCCACCTTTGTGTATCTGTACAATATAAGTTACTTACTGATCGCCAATATAATGGAGTGAAAAGAGCACTCATTTACTGTCGCGAAGACGAAGAAGAAGTTGGCGTTGCTATCGCCAAAACTGTTAGTGGCATTCATTCAAGAGGGGTCTCGATCGATCTTTCTCGCTGGGCATTGACGCTTGTGCTCGGGCAAGGACCTCATGCTTGCAGCCGAGGCCAGAACATCAAAACAGGGACGTTTTGGGACCTTTTAAAGTGTGATGGTCACCCTGAAGAAATAGAAGCCCAGTACGTAAATCTCACATTGATGGAGAAAAATTGACATTGGGAAGATCCTGGAAGGAATAAAAGCACGACTTACCCCACCGTACGAGTTGAACCACATTTTCCATACATTTCCTCTTGGGACATCTTTTCCAACACACATTCAGTGATAATAAAATCAATTTGCATCCATTGCATTTGTGATCTCCTCCAGCCCAAAAACATAGATCTCCGCTGGAAGATATTGAGAAATTTGAAGGCCTTCTATAACCACGATCCACACTAAAGAGTGTCTTGCAATTGAGTGACCTCTCACATCGCGTTTCATACAAAGAACAAAAATTCTAGAACATCAATCTCATCCTCTTTACTTCTCGGACGAATTGGGGCCGCGCTTCTTGCCAAATCCAACAACTGGAAACGAGAGAAGCGTGAGCAAAAACAAGGAGAAAGAATGAAAGAATGGAGGCTTTTCCAGCTCTCGAGAATGCGATTGCCACTCACCCGCCGTGACGAAGCGCCTGTTGTACTGCTCCCGCTTGTGCGCCCGGCCCTTGGGCTTCTTCTTCTTGTCCTGCTTCTGGACCTTGGGCGTTTGTCCGCGCACCTTGCCCGCCCGGGCCAAAGATCCGTGCACCTTACCTGCGACAAACCACACCAGACTATAGCACCACAGCTCTCAAACCGGCGCCCACTTACTCATCCTCTTCGCGCACGCAAAACTCTTCCTGCCCTAAATTTGCCCTATGTTTGTGTCCCCGATCGACGGTCCTTATTGAATTTGATTATCGAACGGCCCCTCAATTAATCACATTAATCTAGTCCTAAACCAGATGAAAATTTCATTTGGACCGTCCGGATGGGGAAAGATCTGACGGTGAAACGGCCATAAGGTATAAAAGGTGCCTCATTTAGACCCTAGAAACCCTAATATAAAGGCGAGTTTTGAGCTAGAAGCGGTGAGTTCCATTTTTCTCTCTGGTAAGACGCTAGCGCTATGGCTCGCCACATCGCCGCCACTCCGCCACCGGCGCCGTCGCATCATCAGGCACACAACAGGAGGAGGAGCGCGCCGCCGCCCAAGAGCGAAAAACCATCGCCAAGGAGGGCGTCATCTCCGCCGCCGCCACCGCCGCCGCCTCCAGCAAAGACGGTCAAGCCCAAGTCCCCACCAGCGAAGCCGAGGCACAGCAGCGGCCATCCTCCAGCTACAGGGCCGCCACCTTCTTCCGATACAATCACTTGGCGACCAAGGAGGTTTGGGCCGCCGCCACCTCCCGCTCACGACACGATAGTATGGCAACCAAGGCCGCCATCGCCGCCTTCGTCACTCGGCTGGAGCTCCTCCACTATTGCTCCCCCTCCGGCGTCGTCATCGCCATCAGCAGCGGCAGCTGCAGCGTTTGCGACGCCGCCTGGGCTGCTCGCGGCAGGCATCGTCATGTTCCTGCTCGCTATGGTGGCCATCGTCACCAGCATCTGGATACTCTGCAAGAGGAGGAGAGACAAGGTGGCTGACAGCATTTTGGTGGAGTACGTCGGGAGCAGCAATTTTCCTGGCGATGGCAGCAGCAGCAAGCGAGATAGCATAATTCCCTTGAGCGAGATAGAGGATGCACGGCTCAGGGACAAGCTCGGTGCCTTCGTCCGAGAGAAGCAGCAGGAGCATCTTCAACCGTCGCAGCTAAATGCCAGTCCTCCAAGGCGCTTGCCTCCTTCGGCATTTTTCGGCGGTGTCTGCCCCGTGGATCCAATCTTTGGGGCTCCAGTTCAACACCACCTGATGGAGGTGCCAACTTATGAGGACGAGATCCGGGGAAGCACGGTGGAGTATCCTCCGGTCTTCCATGGCTTTGCTCCCATGCAGCACGTCCACGAGCTTGCAGATGAGCCGCCAAGAACTTCAGTCTGCCGTCGCGATCCACGTCGAAGCGACTACATCGAGCAGGGTTATCAACGAGACCAAGCCAAGGTTGTGGATCCAGTGTGTCGTCCTGACACCGTGTTCGATCCTGGAGATGTTTGGGTTGCTCGGCTGGGGGCAGCAATAGAGAAGCGAGAAGAAATGGAGAAACAGATCCAGAGGATCATCGAGTTTGGGATGAAGAAGCCCCGCATCAAGCACGTCCACCGGTAAGTTTTCGTGCTTGATAGAAAGAACAAGCGACTAATGGAGCAGTTTTTAGGAGCCGTGAGGTGTATAAGCATGTGGCTGCGACAGCCAACTCCGGAACTAGTCTTTGCGTACACGATTCGGACGTCCAGGTAAATACCACTTCCTGAGTTTAGAGATTATAACTTTCGTTTGAACTAGCCTTCCACCTCGGAGGCTAACCTTGAGCTCGGAACGTAGGAACGGAAGGAGGTACGCTTTTCAGTCGTTTTGGATTGATCTACGCTCTGGTTGGTAGGAAGGATCACAAGCAAAACACTCGTTTTTCTAAACCGGAAAAAGGAAGAAAAGACGGATGCAAGAGCAAAAAGCTCTTGGCATTCATACCTTATTTATTTTAAAAGGATGAAACCATGGGGAACCATGGCATTCCCTTCATCCTTCATGAGGAGACATGACAAAAAACACCATGAGGAGATGACAAACAAAAGGCACCATATCAAAGCGAATTTGTAGATTATACAAAGGCTTTCTTGTTTTAAATGTTTGAGAACATTAGATTTATCTTTTATGGTTTTCAATGTTTGAGAATATTGACAGAATAATCTTTCTATTCATAGTGGAGAATTCAGCTTCTTTTTTTATTCTCACACTCATATTGGAGAACTAGAATTAAAAAGATTCAATTTTGGTCCTTGGCCTTAATCTCTAAAACTATTCTCTTATAACATGTAACGAAGGTTTACAGTTATTACAAAACCATAGGGACAGTCTAACTCCAATGCACTGAATTGTGTTATTTCATTTCTTCGTTTCTTGTTTAGCAAGAATTATTGTCATTAATGAGTGAACGGTGATAGATTCCATCACCATCCTATGATTTTCTTCTGCTTCATCCTTAAGTAACCCAATTATGTGTTCTCCTAAATCTCGTAAGTTTATCTCGACATTAAAATCGTCAACCACTGTTAGACAACTGAAAGTGCAATTTAGTCTTTGTCATAAAATAAGCTCCTTTGCTCTTTGCTGAAATGGCTGACGTTTATTACTTATGGTTGAACCCAATACATTGCCATTTGTACCTGTTCTGATTTCTCTATTACTTTTACCATGTCATAGCCCCAAGAGAAAGGAAGGCCCTCGACTGCTTCCAGTCTGCTACTTTACCAGCGTTTCTAGATTCTCATTTTTGTAGGCCACTTCCAGAGCTAATCGTGGCTGTCTAGAAGCATACGAGATATCAGGCTCCTTTGAAGAGCCATCATACAACTGTTTCTTGGAACTCCAAATCCAGGCCATGAGATGCTGCCTGCAAGGATAACCTATTTTCTATCCCCTTCGTGAACATCACTGTGGTAGACGGATCCCAACCTACTGCCCTGAACTGTAACAACGAAGTTTACCCGCCATGACGATTCAATTGATGTACACCAAACCTTGTACAAATCTACACAAATGTTATCAACTACCTTGTAAGGACCTCCATCAATGCCCGTCTTCATCCCTGACGAGAGCCTGTCAATTTCGGAAGATGAAAAGCAGTCAATTTCAGGCAGCCCAGACCTAAATAGATCGCTTTTAGATTAGGGTTTAACTTTCAAAATTTGTAAGAATATTATTTAGAATATAGTTTGTCTCTCAACTTTGCACAGTGTTTGCCATGAGCATATAGCCCGCGCCAGAGGCATCGTCCTTCGCGCGATCCGAGAGCTCAAACGTAACCTTGGCCACCTCCACATTCTTGGATCGAGCGCAAGCCCCCAGCACCGACCTCCACGTAACCTCATTCGCCTCGTGTGGCATCCCCCTCACCATCGCCACCGCTTCATCGATCTCCCCCGCGCGCCCCAGCGAATCGGCCATGCAGTGGTAGTGCTCGATCCTGGCCTCCACCCTCTCCTCCCTGCGCATCTCCTCGAACTTCTCCCGGCACTCGTCCACCAGCCCGGCATGGCTGCACGCCGTGAGCACCGAGAGGTAGCTCACCGCGTCTCGTCGCACGCCTTCCTCTCGCATCGCTTCCAGGAGGCCGAGAGCTCGGCTGGTCATTCCCTGGTGGCTGTAACCCGCGAGGAGAGCGTTCCAGGTGACCACGCCCCGGCTTGGCAGCGCGTCGAATGCCTGCTGCGCGTCGGCCGGGCTCCCACACTTCGCGTAGCAACTCACCAGGCAAGTCCCGAGCACCGGATCGCTCTCCATCCCCAGCCGGCATATCTCCCAGTGGAGTAGCTTGGCAGCGCTCACGTCCGCCATGGCCTCGCAAGCCTTGAGCCCCGCGGCGAGAGCTTTCACGTCGAGGGCGATGCCTGTGGCTTTCATCCGCTGGAGCATCTCCAAAGCCAGTACGCCATCTCCGGCCGCGGCGTGTCCCTGTATGAGCACTGTCCAGGCCACTACCCCGCGGGAGCTCGAGTCGATCGAGAGGAACGCGCTGCTTGCGTCCGCCATGCTGCCGCACTTCGCGTAGAGATCCACCAGGCAGTTTGTAACGAAGGCGAGGTCGTGGGGTTTGAGCCCCGCCTTGGTTGCCAAGGTGTGTATCGCCATACCCCGCTCGAGAGCTTTCGCCTTGAGAAGTTTGCCATCCATTGCAGTCCCTGCTTCCTTCTCCGACAAGCTCAAGCACGCCTGGAGAGCAGCAACGAAGACGGGGCCGTCCAACGAAGCACAGCCGTTTCGATCGACGAGCTGCTCGAACAGGCTAAGAGCCAGCTCCCCTCCATCGCTCTCTGCATAGCCAAGTATCAGCTCAGTCCATGAAGCGAGATCGCGAAGCCTCATCCTCTCGAATACCTTGTGAGCGTCAACGAGGCTTCCACACTCCACGTACATGTGAATCAGCGCGTTTCCAAGCACCAAGGCTGAGCCCAAACCATGTCGCATGGCCTCCGAGTGTAAGAACATCCCCATCTCCAGCGCCGCCACCTTTAGAAGCTGCTTGCCATGATCGACTCGAGATCCATCCTCTTTGGCTGCTACGCCCGTGCAAGCCTTGACTGCCGCTACGAAGCTTCTCGCGTCCGGCCGGGAGTTCGACGCGATCATGCACGGGAAGAGATCCAGTGCAGCCTCGGCCTCGTTGTTTTCAACGTATCCCAGAATCAAGGCGGTCCAGGAAACCACTGTGTGACGAACCATCCGGTCGAAAACCTTCCGAGCATCAACCATCGTCCCGAGCTTCCCATACAAGTCCACAAGAGTGTTGGCGACGAACACATCCAGATCAAACCCGAACGAAGCAGCTTGCGAGTGAAGAACCATGCCTTTCTCCAAAGCAGCAAGCCTCTGCCCATCTTCTGCTACCAGGCCGGAGCAAGCCTTGAGAGCAGCAACAAACGTCCGAGCGCTTGGAGCACAATAGCTCTCCCTTCTCTGCATCCTCTCAAACATCTCTAGCGCCACCTTCTCCTCTCCATTCTCCGCGTAGCCCATGATCAACGAGGTCCACGACACCGCATCCGGGAGCTTGATCTTCTCAAACACCTCTCGAGCAAGCAACATGCTTCCACAGTTGGAGTACATATCCACCAGCGCATTTGAAACGAAGATCCCTGTATCCATCCCAGCTTTCCCAGCTCGCAAGTGGACAGCAATCCCTGCCTTAAGTGCTGCTTCTTTTCTCGGAAGCTCTTTCTGTCCATCACCCTCGAGCTCTTCCTGCTTAGCAACGCTGCTGCAAGCCTTGATTCCAGCCACAAAAGTCCGAGCGTTTGGCTTACAGCCTTCCTCTTGGAGCCTGTAGAAGCACTGCAAAGCCAAGCTTCCCTGTCCATTCTCACTGTATCCATAGACCAGCGTCGTCCAAGTCACCACATTCTGGCAAGCAATTCCCTGGAACACCACCTCGGCGTCCCTGACACTTCCACACCTGAAGTACATGTTTAGCAGCGAGCTCGCAACGTAAATGTCTGAATCCTCCCGGCCACATCTCACGGCCGCTGCGTGAAGTCTTTTGCCTCTCTGTAAATCTCGTGAGCTGCCGCAAGCTCTCAGCTGAGAGACCAAGCTTCCTGTCCTGCCTTCCTCGCTTAAGTTCGCAAGGATGTGGGTCTCTCTGGCTTCACTGTTGTTAAGCATGCTAGAATGAAAGAAAAAATTCGAGGCTTACATCTGATAGTGCCGGCTCATCCTTTCTCTTGGAAGAGAGAAAACATACCAAAATGCCGCGCCATACTCACAGAAACTCGCCTCTCTTCTTCTACCTATAAAGGGCCCTAACTTCTCTCTGCAAAAAACATAAGAAAAGCTATGAACTGGAAAAACACAACACTACCGGGTTGAGTTTTATTGCGAGTGAAATTTACGGATCCAAAAATTTAGATAAAAATCAAAGCCGCGTACCAGATCGTTTTAGAGGTCCAGAACCAAACGAGCTGGGTCTTCAACCACGTCCTTGACTTGCCGCAAGAAAAGAACCGCCTCTCTGCCGTCGATCAGCCTGTGATCGTATGTCAAAGCAATGTACATCATCGGTCGGATGACTATTTCGTTGCCAATCACCACGGGACGCTTCTGGATGGAATGCATTCCAAGAATAGCAGACTGGAAAACAAAAACAAAAATTCAATGAAAACAAGGTCTTCTGAGATGTGAAGGTCCAAACCTGAGGAGGATTGACAATGGGTGTGCTGATCAAACTGCCGTATACTCCACCGTTGGAGATGGTAAAGCTCCCGCCGGCCATATCATCGATAGTAATGGTTCCGTCGTTTGCTTTCTTCGCGAGCTTGGCAATTGTTTTCTCCACATCTGCAAAGTTCATCTTCTCACAACCCCTGACCACGGGAACCACCAGGCCCTGCACAACGTGGAAAAACAAAATTGGTTTTTTTTAGTCTCCGAGAACATGACAATACCTTTGGAGTTCCAACAGCAATGCTGATGTCGACGTAGTCTCTGTAAATGATGTCATCTCCGTCGATCACAGCGTTTACAACGGGCTGCGCCTGCAAAGCGCTAACAGCAGCCTAAAATGACGTCTGTCAGCAAAAAGAAACTCTTGAATTACGCAATCCACGCCGAATACCTTGACAAACACCGACATGAACCCAAGCTTTGCTCCATGTTTTTCTTGAAACTCGTCCTTGTACTTTGCACGCAAAGCCATTGCATTTGTCCTGTTTTCATAAAGCCTCCTATAAGCGCTCGACTTAAACAAATACTACTCTTACATATCAACTTCGTTGAAAGTCGTGAGCAACGCCAAGGTGTTTTGAGCATCTTTTAGACGAGTGGCAATTCTTTTCCTGATGCGCGTCATGGGAACCTGTGGAAAAAATACAATAGTTACTGATGTCCCTAGAGACATATGGGAAAACGCTTACTCGTCGCTCCCTTTCTTTAGGAGGTAGTTGTGGTTCTGTTGAAGGCCGCGGCGAGGACGGTGGCGGCGGCGGCGGCGGCGGTTGCGGAGGAGGTGGAGCTGACTTTGCTGTTGCCTCTTTGGGAGGCGGCGACGGCTTTTCTTCAGACTTTGGTGGCGGCGGCGGTGGAGCGGAAGATTTACCAGAAGTATCCCCTTTCGCAACAAAGGCAATCTTATCACCCGGCTTCACTGTCGTGCCGACTTTGACAACGATCTGTAGAAGAAAAAAAGTATATATATATTTCCACTACCCCAGAAGAAACAAAAGCATAGTACCTCTTTCAAAGTGCCAGCAACAGGACTGCGAACATCGATAGTCACCTAGAGTCGCCATAAGAGCTGCAACGTTAACTTGAATGCATACAAAATCCAAACCTTTTCGCTCTCTATCTGTGCAATCACATCGTCAACGTTAACAGCATCCCCAACCTCTGTAATATTTGTCAAGGAGGTTAGCTTTCGCCTCACGATAAAAAAAAAGGAAAGGAGTAAAAGCAAGACGTGATACTCACGCTTAGAAAAAGAAGCCAAGCTCCCATCTGAGATCGACTCTCCCATTGAAGGGACAATGATATCACCTTCCCCTGTTGTGTGAGAACAATCAGCATCGGCAAAAGAGGGACTCGGCTTTGAAGCTTACCCCCAGCAGCAAATCCCCGTCTCGGGATTTTCTGGAACTCCGATTCCACTCGATCCAACAACACCACTTTCCTGGTAAAATGCCACACTCACACAAAAGCCGCGAGATTTCCACCCATACCTGTTCCATACTTGCGATCGCCGCAAATGCAACGGAGAATCTGGCAAAAGACACACAGAAGAAGCACGATTTCCAGTCAAACCACAGCGCAATCGCGGTAATCAAAGGCGGCGGCGGCGGCGGCGGCGTACCTACACACTCCGTGTGGAGGTAGCTCCTCAGGTGGAGCAAGCACAGGCGCTGCTGCAAACACAGACAGCTCGAATTCGGGGGATCGATCGAAATGCGACAAACCTGAGAGGGATCCCTGGAGGCCGCGGAATACCATCGCAGTAGCGGCGAGCGGCTCCGCGCGAGACGAGCTCGACAGCGCTCCATCAATCAAGACCTAGATCCCAGAGTTAGGGCTTATGCCCGGCGCCCCTAATCCTGTTAGGCCACGTGGAACATAAAGACCAAATGATTAGCATAAATATATTTGTCTTAACAAACACCCGGTTAGTTCCTACCGTACTGTACGAACAGTTTAACAGCAAAACCTATGATACGAATTTGAGTTCCATTGCAAAGAGTGGTAAAAGGTGGAGCACTACTTTCAGGCAGGATATCAGATATTTGCTGATTAAATAGCTGCTTATTAGTAAATGGAATTACATTTGGTTTAACAGTACTGATTCAAAAATTTATGGGAGTGTGTTGCTACATTAGAGGAATGACTTGGCTTACATTAGCAAAAAACCAAATAACCATTCTCGTTTGAGACAAAATTATCCAAGGGGAACACTACAGAAATATGGTAGCCTGTCTCATTTAAACAAAGTCCCGAAATTATTCCGTTGGAATCCACTAAATACTGCTGGCATGTTTTCCAAAAATCACTCCCAAGAACAAGTTTGCCATTGTCGTTGCCTAGTTTAGAACCTAGAGGCAAGTTACTTTGAAACCACTGTGATGGGGCACAAAATGCCCATAGAACACCAACAAAATTGACTGTAGAATTACTACATGATTTAGAAAACCCATTGCAAGCCTATTAAAAATGAAAGGAAAAGAAAGAAAATAAGATAAAAATCTGGATTATATACCTTGAGTGAAAATAACAAAGCGAAAACCAAAATCACTAACATGTAAACTCTAGCTAATGTTTTAGCATCCATGACCAAATCAATACATTACTAAAACAGTAAAGGTTTCTTAAAATAAATACAACTTGCACTGGCAAACAAAGTTAAAGTCGTCAAGTCGACAAAAATTAATTTACTTTAGGTGTCCTACTACAAAAAGAAACTCCTTTACCTTAAAGTTTATTTGAAAAGAATATGCTACTTTTTAAGGTTTTAGACGATCCTAACCGTACAAAAACTCGACATTCTTCGATGCTGAGAAGGAGCTGCCTCCATTATGATCTGTTTTACCCAACTAACACGATGAAATGGACGAGTTACTCTCTGTTCTAGAATATCGAGAAAAACGCGGCTCCAGCTTTGAACGGCCAGGATGCGATCTAGGGCTAGATATATAGTAAGAATCTAGGGCTCTGGCGGCTAGGGTTTTGGTGCGTGTGTGTCGAAAATGGTAAGTGGAATTCCTCACCGCTTCTGTGCTTGAATCGTGTGCTTCTTCCGCCAGGTTCTCTCCAACGACATCGATCTCTTGCATCCGCCGGCGGAGCTGGAGAAGCGCAAGCACAAACTCAAGCGCCTCGTCCCCACTCCCAATTCCTTCTTCATGGTAACCTTGTAGCCCTTTCCCCTTTCTCCCATAGCGCTAATTCTCGTCTCGCCGCAGGACGTGAAATGCCAGGGATGCTTCAACATCACGACTGTCTTCAGTCACTCGCAGACGGTGGTGTTTTGCAGCAATTGCCAAAACGTTCTATGCCAGCCCACCGGAGGAAAGGCTCGTCTCACAGAAGGCTGCTCCTTCCGGAAGAAGAGCGACTAGAACACCAGCAACGAGGCATCAAAACCAAAGTAACGATGCGTAGAGCACTAGCCGTGTGTGTTTGTTCCCTTCACATGTGTAATAGAAAGTAGCCCAATTTTGCTTCAATGGATTGGGATTTTTCTCGAATTCCTTCTTGGGTTTCTTACAGCTGCAAGGATTGTATGAGAAATAGCGAGAAGTTCATTGGTAGCTCTCTTCTTTCCAACTCTTTGATATGCTAAAAGCTTTTCTAGGTCCATGGAGAGGTCACAAACCATGAAAGAATATCTACATAACCCCAAGCACCGTCGTGGAAGATGACGAGCGGTGAGAGCTACTGGAAAGCAATCTTTTTCAGGGCGGCTTTGTTCTCAAAGCGAGAACGTTATAAGTAAGTCTTCTTTGCTTTTATTTGCATTGGATTTTCAATGAGTTTTCAAAAACCATTGATCAACCAACCATAACCATGTCCTTGCATTTGCCCTTGAACATAAGTAGTAACAATATCAACTACCATCAAAACAGAATTACAACATTAATAGAATTCTGTATTTGCGACATACACATACCAAAGAGATATTATTTTAATTTGAATGTTGAAAGTTTATATATTTCACAATCATTTTTTAAAAGTTCAAATATACTATTTTACTAAGTTATTCAATAAGCAAGCATCTATGATAATATTTTAATTTAAATAAGCAAACAATGCTTTTTTACCATAAATATAATTTGTGTTTATTCTCTACCACCTGTGTTTTCTAGGCGCGAAGTGTTCGTCAAGAAGAAAATAAGTAGCTAGGGCATCCATGGCGTGGGCGCACGAGGCCATGAGCCTGGAGGAGCTGATCCAGGTAGCGTCCGCGTTTCTCGATATTCTGGTGCTCGCGTCAGGCTACCAGTCTTCCGGGGCGCCCGTTTTCTGGCATCCTCGGGGCGTGGCCAGGGCAATGCGATGGGCGGCGCTCCTGGAGCGAGCAATGCGGGGGTTTCCAGCCACTGACCAGGGGCGCTCGTCCATGGAGATTCTCGACATGGCGCTGCTGGATCTCATGGACGCCACGCCCCATCCGCCGGGCCTGCCTCAGCTCACATGCCGGCTACTCTCCACTGCGAGAAACGTCCTTGTAAGTTTCTTGATCCAGGCCTTTGGGATTGGCAACGGGCAGCTCGTCTCGCTCGTGGTGGCGGCCCCCGACACCGATCTCGCGGAGTTTCTCCGGGAGAGAAAGGGAGGATCCTCGGCCAGGAAGCGATCCTTCGATGAGTTTCAGGTTCCCGAGGCGATCACTCTGGAGGTATTGTCTCGAGAGAGAGCAAAGTCGGGCTTGGATCGACTGGGCGAAGGGCTCGAGCGCGTCGTAGAGGAGATAAGTTCAAGCAGGTTGGTGAAAACGCGAGCTATTCCCATTTGGAAGGAAGATGGAACTAGTGATCACCCGGACACCAGTAGAGGAAGCTCTTGCCTTTGCGAGAGATGGTGCCAGGAAGCCATCTCCTACTGGACGTCGGCCAAGACGATCTACAAACTCACGGGAGCCATGACGATCTTCGACGCCGAGATGGAGCTGTGGATCCCGGTTTTGGATTCTTTGCACAGAAAGGCAGTGACTTCCGCGACGCAGGGTGACGAAGTTGTGGAGGTTGCCGAGCTCTGCTTGCTCTATCTTGCCTCCACTGCATGGAAACTCGTTCTCCGCAAGCTCCTGGCTTCGCTCGTCCCTTCTTCTTCGCAAGCTTCTGAAGGAGGAGCGGTGAGCTTTCCAGAGATTCCACAGCAGAAGCGGGAAGAAGTGGAAAACTATTTCCTTGGATTGCTGCAAGCCAGGAGAGCAATCTGGTGGAAAGTCCCGGCCATCCTCGCGGCGGCGGCAGTGGCGGTCAAGAACTCGGGCTTGTCCAGGAGCTACGTCGAGTCCATTGCGATTCACGTCCACTCCAAGGAGAGCTCCGGAATTTGCTTCTGCCATGCTTGCTGCTCAAGGCAGCAGTGCGAGCGATGCCAGGATCTAGTCCACGAGCGAACCTGGTGCGTTTTGCTGCTCAACCAGATGGAAGGGGAATTCCTCCAGCAGCTCAAGAGGCTCTACTTGAGAACTTGCGACTACGAAAACATTCGTCCTGGAGGTACCATAGTTTGGTCCGAGCATTCTTTCTCTCGAGTTTAAGCGGCAAGCCACACGATCGAGCACATACAGTAAGTATTTGTTTTTCAATCGCTAGAGCTCATGAAGTTCTTAGAACTGCAGGTAACACTCGCCGATCTAAATACCAAGCCAGGATCAAGCAAAGTTCGGAAGAAAACGCCTCAAAATACATTTGAGATTTGCAGCCACTGCGTTTTGACATTTCCGTTTTCTCCAGCTCGGGAAAAATGTTCATACTGAGTGTTCCAAGTGATCTTTGCCCCTGGAGTCGAGAATTGCCAGGAAATCCTTGTCGAAATCGACAACCTTTCAATACCTTCGTAGGATAAAACTTGCACAAGCTCGGCGTCGCCAAATCCAACCAGCCTCAAGTTTGTTCTCCCGCCATCCACTCCGACGATCTTGCATTGACTTGCTGGGATTCCCCGCGGAGTGCAGAGGCAACACTTCGGTGTCGCTCAGATCTTCAAGCTTGAATCCCTCGATCGTCACCGCCTGGCCAACGATCTTGTCAGCGTTCTCGAGCTTGCACCCCCATAGTCGAACTTGAGCAGCGAGCTTCTCATGAACTCCAGCATTTGCTCTAGGGATCTGGACGAAGCACCATGCATTGACTCAAACCGGCGTCCATGACGAGAAACAACCTTACTTCTGGTCGGGGAGATGCTCAAACCAGGAATCCATTCCTGAATCCCGCAATTGAAGAGAAATTCCGTTTCCTCGATTCGGGTGGCATTTCGAGGCTCTCACGCTCGTCATCTTGGTCGATTTCCACACTTGGTGCTGGACAGGCTCGTCAACTACAAGGAGCTCACCGGAGCTCGGTATGGAGTGGTGGCCAATCTCGCTTCCTCCCGGCTGTGCGAGAGGGCCGCTCCAGCTTTCCTCCTCCTCTCGCGGTCCCTGGACAATCCCCCCCTGGCGTTTGGCTTTGCGATCGACCGGGCTCGCAGTGATCGTAGCAATCGAGCAAGCTCCTTTTCTCCTTGGAACCTTGGGGAACCTCGGCCTTGAGGTTGACGTGAGGGAACTGCTCTCTAAAACCCTCGTCTAGACGATCGAGATAGTGATCCGCTAAAAAAGCAGATAATTATGTTTAAAACATTATTATTTCTTTCAATTTCAATTGCCATGTACGGTAATATAGTTAATTAAAAGTCCTTTGTCATTCTTTCTCAAGCTACTTGGCCCGTGAATCTCCTAGTGCAGTTCCATTGGAAAGACATACTTAAGCAAGCCAACAAACCGTTGAACGGATTAGAACGATTGCAGATTTTCTGGCTCAAGCAGTTTGCTCAGATACGATTTAGAGTGGTATCGTGGCCCGTTTACGTTAAACCTGAGAAAAACATCCTCCGCTATTAGAGATCGTAGAGGAGCATCAATCAAGGCCTACTTGGTCTCATTGTTTATGAAGCTTAGCTTGTTCGATACATACTCCGCCATCTTTCGACTTCCTCAGCACAAATGCAAGTAATCTGAAAGAAAGAACTCATTTGAGCTCTCACAAGACGTGGAAAAAAGGCTTGGAGATGGGTTTAGTGTTGTTGAAATATAATTAATCATTGGGATTGTCACACACAAACTTAGCATATTACCAACATTGAAATCAATAAATTCTATCAAGAGAATCTCTAAATTGTTTAAAAGATTTCTAAATAATTGCTGGTTTTTTTACTAGTAGCACCATTCATGTTTAGTATTATTTATTAGTCCAATTGATCAATATGTGATTTAATTAAGAATTTTAAAATTGTTCCTAGAAGAGTATGACTAGAGCTTTATATCAACTTTTTCTTCTAGAAAAATATTACTCAAGAAATTGCAGGAAGTGCATTATGGAATATAATATAATGTCACTAGTAATAATTAAAAAAAATTGCCATTTGTGGCTTGCTTTTATGCCCAGAAATGTTCACTCGTTTATTATTTGTGTAACTAGCAAACTAAAAATAAACTAAATGGGATATAAAATATAGCTCTTCATAAGGACAAGTATTTGATAATTTAAATACGTAGAAAAAACCGGGCCTTCATGACCTATTTGTAAAGATTTTATTTGAAATGATCCACCATTTTCATAAGGAATTTCCTTATATGGAATATTTAAAGTGCACAAAGGGAATTGCTTATAGCCATACTCGAGGTTTAATAGTGTGGGCAAAGCAAGGACATCACCCAAGGAAAGATAGTGCTTGAGGCGGGAGCTGGTGACTAAGCAGCGGGAGACTTCTTTTAAAAGCAGCTTTCTTAACCGCCTAGCATTCCACTTGGCAATTTCTAGTAATATTGAGCGCCATTGCAATCTCCAACAACATTTATTTACTTATTATGTAATTTATGATCACAAGTTCTTTAGTTGCCGGTGAAACCACGACTCTGGAATGGCACACATGAAACAAGAGGAGCATCCATCGCTGTAGCCAGTCCATCGATTCCACCTGCAATTCCATCCGATAAATCCTTGAAAGCTTTGTGTCCGAGCTTCATCACGTCCTCCACTAGCATGAGCACCAATTCCTTGGTGACATGCTCCATTGCAAAGACGTGTGAATAGAGGCGTTGCACACCATTGACCACTAGCGTCTCGTTGGAGAGGCTGTACTTGAGCACCAGGTCATGGTTGAGCTGCCGGAAACGAACAGTGAGCGAGAGTGGAGATCGTGCAACCCAGAGATCGAGCTTGAGTTTCTTGCCCAGCTCTTTCATGGTGTTGTAGATGAATCGTGCCATCCCCTGGCAATTCACGGCCTTGTCAATATGCTGCTTGAGTGTATGCTTGGAGATGTAGCTCCAGTAGAAGACCGCCGAAAGGCCATTCCTGGAGCCAGCAAAGGTGGTGTCTGGAGTGCCAGTGTAGATCGGATTGCTCGGTGGGTTGATTTGGTACCTGGAAGAGCCACAACTTTCGTCAACGTTTTTCATCAGGTGGCGTAAGAACATCACCTTCTCTTGGACATGAAAAGTCCGCATGGAATTGGCGCACCCATCCACTTGTGCCCGCTCATTGAGATGGAATGCACAGCGTCCAGGCTGAAATCAAACTCGGGCGCGACTTCCACAGCGTCACCATCCTCAAACTTGCAGCCCTCTTCCGCGGCCAGCTTCAGATACGGAATGTAAGCAGCACCGAGTGCGCCATCGACGTGGATCCAAAATCCCGTCCGTACACTCTCCTTGCCGCCGGCGTCGATGACCCGCTTGTCGTGGCCGTAGAACTGGAAGATGGGCATGAGCGCGGCCATGGCCTTAACGACGCTATCATAGGCGCCCTTGAAGGTGGTGCCATAGTTGAGGTTAACGAAGATGGGGTGGCCCCTCCGTGCAAAGAAGAGCACTAGCTCCGCGAGAGACTGGGTGTGGATGGTTCCATCCTCGGGGCCCTCCTCGTACGAGGGGACCTCGTCCGGCCACTTCCCATCTTGGGTGATCGGGCACATCCCGGGGTACTTCTCCTCGCCCACCACTCCGAAAGTGGGGATGGCGATGAGCCGGGTCGCCTTTGCGAACGAGTAGTGCGTGTCCTCCGAATAGAACGCAACCGGCGAGAAGTAGTTCTCACAAAACTCGTCGGAGCATTCTGGGAATGGAGCTGCGCTCCTTGCCTGGGCTTGGCATTTGGAGGCACGGCTGCTTGGCGATACACAAGCCGCGGAGCCGCCGCCTTCTTTGTGTCTCCGCCGGATTCCATGAGGAGGATTTTGCCACCGAGGTAGTCTCGGGCATTCCACAGTGCGTACATGTTGCCTTCGGTGGATCCCATGGTGAGGAGGAATCCCCAGTAGCTGTTCCCTTCCTCGTCACCCAGGAGGGCCGATTTATGAGGCCAGTTCGCGTTCCACAGCGACGCGTAGTAGTCGAGCACGGCGCGCTCCATGAACTTGGTGTTGGTGGTGCAAGTGCCCTCCACAAATGGGTCCCCAATGTTGTTAATCTGGGACCAGAGCAAACATTTGATAACAATGACCATGAATATCTACTTACATGCACGTTGAGGAAGTCATTCAGTTCGTCAAAGCTCATCTTCTGGTTGGCCTGGAAGCCCATGAAGTGGGACTGCTGCTGCTTGAGATAGTCGAGCGACTTGTTAAGGGCCTCCTGGCGGGCTTGCAGACGGTTGGCCGGATGCTCTTGGAGCTTGCTGTCCCTCAAACTCGACGCAAGATCGAAGTTGACACCCTCGAGAGCTTTGGGAAGTGGAGGATAGACATAATCGTCAGTGGTGGGAGGGGAAACGCGCTGCGCGGGAAATAGATCACTCATGGAACTCGCCATATTGATGGATGGACTGATCAAGAACCCGATGCTAAGAGAGAAAAAGGACTAGTGTGTGCTGAGCAATGGAAACTGTTTATATGCAAGATCAACCACGAGAAAAGCGTGGAGCAAAATTCTAGCTTGAAGGGTCAAATGTCCCTTTCAAGAAATCAGATAAGTAAAGGATTGGGACCATAAAATTCATTATTTGATGCCAGCGATGGAAGAATACAAAATCGTAAGGTGTCACCGTATATATTCAAATTGGTATTTTTTGATGGTACAAGGATTACTACAAAGTTGCATTGAAAAATAACGTTGCACAGAAAATGCAATCTTATTATAATGTTGCAAAATATTGTTTATGTTATAGTGGAGGAGGAATCCCCAGTAGCTGTTCCCTTCCTCGTCACCCAGGAGGTCCGATTTGTGAGTTCGCGTTCCACAACGGTGCGTAGTCTCCACAAATGCATAGTAACCACAGCCAATCAATATCCAGCCAATCATACGATATACTTACATGCACGTCGAGGAAGTCCTGCAGTTCGTCAAAGGTCATCTTCTGGTTGGCCATGAAGTGGGACTGCTGCTGCTTGAGATAGGATCATGCAACTCGCCATGTTGATGGATGGATCGAGAGGAGCCGACGGGAAAGAACTGTGCTGAGCATGGTTATGGAAACTTGTGGACGTTGATATCCAAGAGTAGTACAGTACGGGACCAAGCACAAAATAAAAGCTTTGTTTTCAAATGTCTTGCTCGATCATGAGAAAGCGATTGGCCAGATCGGCTGGTTTAAGGGTTTAAATATGGTTTAGCTTATAGGGTCCAACTGCTGATATTTTAGTCTAAATACTTATTTTAGACCTGGGATGATTGAGGAGAGTTATTGCATCCAGTTGTAAAACTCGCTGCTGAAGATAATTATTTTGGCTTGCCAACCAGAAGATGGACAGGCCAAGTCACCGTTTTCACCACCATAGGATCACCGCCCCAGCTCTTCTCAAATGCCGGCCGAAACTCCTCCAATATGGCCACCCCCTTGTCCATGGCGGTCTGTACGGCGGACCACGACCGGAAGTAGGCCAAGAGCTGGCCCAAATTGAGCCGCTTGATCGACTCGAACCGTAACGGCCCCGTACTAGCCTGGCCCGCGACCGGCTCAAACGGGAAGTCGATTGTACGGTAGCCGTTGTCCACGAGCTGCCGCTGTGGCGCCCAGTAGGGCGACGTGGCCGCGTAGAACTCGGTGAGGACGGCGTCCACGTCTGCGTCCACGTGGCAGAGCTGGTAGCACCACGCGGCCAGCACGCCCGGGCGGTCGCCGCCACGGCGGAGCATCGCGCCGACGTGGCCGTAGAAGGCGTCCAGGTCGAACCAGTGGAGGGCCTGCGCGACGGTGACGAGGTCGAGCGAGTGGTCGGGGCCGATCACCGAGTGGAGCTCGTCGCGGGTGATCGATTTGGAAGTCACGGCGTATTTGATGTTTGGGCGCTGCGGGGCTTGCTGGAGCTGCTGGGAGCTCACGTCCGTCGCGATCACTCGATCGAAGATCTCTGCGAGCTAAGAAACCCCCAAAAATTCTAGACAAACCCCGGCTTGGCTTACCTTGATCGCAGCTTGCCCATTTCCAGTGCCCACGTCCCACACGCATCCATGGTGCGTAACCGACGCCAGGAATTCGAAGAGGGAATCCGGATAATCGGGGCGCGCAGCCGCGTAGATCTCCGCCTGGGTATCAAACAGCCCCGCCATGAAGAGCCCTAAAAACTGTAGCGACTTTGACAAGATAGCGCGGATATTCGCAAATTCAAAATGTACCGGGAAAAGTTACATTACTTTTCGTTTTCTCTTTGTTCTTCGTTTTTTTCGGTGTTCCCGTTCTTGCTACTTACGGATTGAGCACGGTTCCATTGGGAAGAACCCGCCTTCTAGTCGATCCTCCTCCTCTCGCCGATGCCGGGCTCGTCCACAAGAATCCATCCCAGTCGGTCGAATGCCAAGTGTTCGTGACGATCAAGTCCGCGCAATCGCCTCCACTCGCATTGCTCCCACCGTTTCCATTCCCTCCTTTGTCCCTGAGATGATCCATGGATGGTGGCTTTTGGAGTAGCAGGAGCTCGGCGTCGTGGCGGAAGGACATGCTCGAGGGGACGTTTACGAGCAAGTCCTGCTCGCCACCGCTGTCGTGGCCCTCCTCCATGAGGTTGTTCTTCACGGGTTTTCGCGCTGGAATCGCCGTGGACTCGGGCAGGAAAGAGGAAGTCGTAGCTCGCCGGGGGCCGGATGATTCCTGGCTTGGTTTCGAGCTGCTTGAAGAGACCCCGTAGTTAAGCTCGTGTTGCTTGTGAGTTCCATGGAGGATTGAGTCGTCCGTCCCTTCAGAGACAAAGAAAGAAAAAAAAAGAGATGGTTTTGAGTCCTCGAGAGAAACCTTTTCGTCTCTTACTCTCGATCGCGAGCAGCGATGCATTTCCTGCGCAGGGAGGCTTGAGAAGCTTGTGCTCTTTGCCACACGGCGGCTGCTGTAACGTAAGTAGGAGAGAGATGAAAAAAGGAAACGCGAACGAGAAAGTTTGGTTTCACCTCAGCCCGGCGCTTGGAAGTTCGAGCTTGATTTTGAAGCTGAGACAAGCTTTCGGCCCATCCGGACGCTGCCAAGTCCGTGACCGATAGAAGTTGCTGGTAGTGCTGCAAAACGCGAGGACTGGATCCAGCTTCGGGCGAGTCGAACGTTCCTTCGGAAAGAAGCCGCTGAAAGTTGGACACTGCCCTCTCGAACTGGGAGCTGCTAAACATGCTGCTCAAGCTGCACGAGAGCGCTCTCCACTTAGTTTTCTTTCTCAGATACTAAGAAAGAAAGGAGAAAGTTTTTACCTTTGTGGACAATGCGAGATGTCCACCGAGGAGAGGAACTTTAGAAGCTGGAGTTGCTCTTGATCCGTCAATAGCTCGGTAAACGTATCAGCATTAATCACATCCTGTTCAATCGTGTCGAAAGAACACGTTACAGTAAATCCTTTTAGGAGAATAGAGAAAGCTTGCCTTGAGTTCCAGGAAGTTGAGTGGAGACTGCTTGCTTTGCAGCACATTTCTCTTGTTGTAGGGAAAAATTTCTCTGGAAGACAAGAAGCTTCAAATCATCTTCATAGAGAAATCTAGACTAGAAAAGAGAAAATAAAGAGATACTTACAAGAGCGTTCTACTGGGATTGTAATGAGTCTCGGGTCTTTGGTAGCCGATGGCGAGCTTCTCCTTTCCTCTCAACGGGGCCGAATTGTAGAGCCCGGTACTTTGACCAGGAACCTCACCGAGTTCGTGTGCTCCTCCTCCTCCTCTAGTGCCACTATCGATGAGCAACGAGCTCGCCTCGGACTCGTGCTCCTGCTGCTGGGCGATTTGCTGCGCAGGCTGCCGGATAAAAACACTTCCAAGCCCAATCTCCACCGCTACCAGCGGTGACTTTGTCTCGAACAAAACTACAGCGTCACCATTCTCGGGGCATGTCACCGACGACACCTCTTGCTCCTCGAGCGAGACGAGGTTCCTGGCGATTTTGTCTGAGGAGGCCCGGGATCGGAACATGTTTGTGCGCCTGCGAGATGGAACTGGAGTGTCCCAAGGCGTTCCACGCACTGCATGGACGAAATTCACGAGTTCAGCCGAAGAGAAAACGGTGAAAAACGGTGAAAACCAGTTACCAGGAGCGACGGCCGATCTGTAGAAGGGACCATCGAACGTCGAAACCTCAGAGCCGAGGCTCGATCGCGTGCTGGCATCGTCCTCCGCGCTGGTGGAGAAATACGTGCTGGTTTTCGAGAGAGCGCTCTCCGAGTTTCCATCCGATGGTTCCTTTCTCTTGCGCGAGATGATCGTCTTCTCTGGAGCGGTCCGGTTAGAGTTCCATCTCGCTTTGTCACTCCCAACTCCAAATCCGCCCGAGTGCATTGGCATGTAGTTGATGAGCGTGCCTTTAGTCCGCCACCTCGAGCCACAGGCATTGCACAAAACTGGCTTCTCCGGGGGGCCATTCCGCCACAGTGGTGTTGCTGGAAAGATGGCAAAAACAAAAACACGAAGCAGCACACGAGTAAGTTATAGATCAAAGGGAGCAAACTTTGGAGAGGTTTTTCCACAAGACTTTGTTTCTTCGCTGGCATTTTTGGCAATTACAACCGAGTTTGATTCGATTATGAGACCAGGATACACAGAGAGATAAAAACCATGTCATATAGCTTTGCCTTCGAGCTGTTTCGTATCAATCATCGTGGTGATACAAACAAGCAGCAAAAGCACAACGTCCATTACAACGAAGGAAACACGTCAAAGTTTGCAAGAAAGCCAAACAAAGAGTATACAAAGGCAAACCTTGTAGCTTAATGGTGATGGATGAGAACTTACTGGTAATTCCACAGTGGTAGCAAGGGCCCTGCTTCCCCATTCCTCTACTGCTGTGGAGGAGCAGCTCCAAGGGGATTAAACACCTCCCATGCAAAGAACCAACCGAGTGAAGAGGAAGAACAAAGCAAAAAAAAAAATCACGAAGGAAAGAGGAAGAACAGTATGGATAAATAATTCTCTCTCGCGCGGACAAGCAAGCAAGGCCGTGACGGAGAGACCTAAGGAGGAACTACTCAGGCAATTGACAAAAAGGGCAAGGAAAAAAAATCTTTTTTTTTTTTGCTGCTGCTGCGTTCTTCTTCTTCTTTCGCTAGAAAGCTCTGAGACAGTAGAGGAGTTACTTAGCTCTCTCTCCCTGGAGAGCTCTCAAGCTCTTGGTTGCCCTAAGAGCTATTCACCTCACGACCCAGACGAAGAGTAGAGAGAAAAAAAAAAAAAAAAAACAAAGGGGACAAAACCAAGGAAAAGGATAGAACTAGGCGAGATGGAGCTCGTTGGAAAGGCGACCTGATGGGCGAGGAAGAAGAGCCCATTGAGCGTCGCCACCGTCGCCCCCAACAGGGCACGAACAGGGGAGCAGATAGGGCAGTGGAGAGTGTGCGTTTTTGTGTGGTTTGAGCTCACAATTGTGTTGTCACTTTTTTTAGGGTTTTGGTGGGGGTGGGGGCGACCACATTTTATATTTCCTTCCTTTTCCACGCGGAAAAATTCCCCGCCGTTGGATGCGCTCGTAGATGCTTTTGGCATCTTGACGGATTCGTTTCCTGGCCGGGTGAAAGATTTCGCCGTGGGTAAATGGTGATCTGGGCCAATCGTCGCGCGTGACAGCAAGCAGTCGTCGATGGGCACGTGATGGCGCGGATCCGACGGTCGGGAACCGGATAAGGTCTCTCTACAGGGTGAATATTCTCGCCGTACGATAGCGATATCTGGCGGGCTGACGTGGCCGGCGGATGGACGCCACGGTGATGGCGGGTAATTGGGTGGACGGCTGCGATCGCAAGATGCTTGGGGGACATGGTAGGGCTTTAGAGAGAGAGCTTGTTTGTTTTCTCTTCTTCTTCTTCCTCTTCTTCTTGAGAGGGTTTACAGCGTCTTCTCTCTCTCTCGATCGCTCGTCTTTGATCCACCATGGGGCTTCTTGACAAGCTGTGGGACGATGTGGTGGCCGGGCCTCAGCCGGATCGAGGCCTGGGAATGCTGCGCAACAAGAATGCCAAGGCGGTCGCCAGGGATCTCACTGGCTTGGATGGTCTCTGGCAGCGATATTGCGATCGTTTTCTTGCTCACACGGTCGATCTTTGTGGCAGGTGATCCGCTCGGCGCCCCTGGCGCGCGAGACCCGAAATATCAGCGCTCCAGCACCATGGTCACGCAGAGCATCAACATCCGCCCCCCGCCGCTGATCCGATCGGCCAGCTTTGGCGACGAGTCCGCGCCGGCTACCCCGACGGGAGCCGCCTCTAGCGTCGGCTCCCCATCTTCTATGGCTGGATCTCCTGGTAATATCTGCAAGATCTTGCTAGTCCTCGCCTTGTCTCCCACGATTCTTTGCTATCTTGTCGAGATTTTGAGGGAGTCTTTGGAATCTAACTGTGCTCTTCTCGTGAACAGGAACCACGCCCAAAGATAACGTTTGGCGATCGGTGTTCCATCCGGGAGCCGGGCGAGCGCGGGCAGTGGAGCGCCAGGGCTCCGCTCGCTACGACAATGTGACACCAAACTCTCCGTCTGTGTATGACTGGTAAGCCGTCTCTCTCGTGTTCTTGGTTTCTAGCCCTTGTTCGTCCGAGCTCTAGCTGGTTCTCTATCTCTTCATGCTTTAGTGTTTCTTGCATGGATTTCTTACGAGCTCTAAGGAACTTTTTTGTTTCTCTAGATAAGATAGAGTTTAGCAGATTCGGTGTCCATAGATCGTAAGAATCGCTACCAATCACTTCTCATACACAAACGCAGGGTAGTGATCAGTGTCTTGGACACCTGAAGAAAGATCAGGGAGAGCTTCTTCCATGTCGATGGTTGTAGTTTCCGAGTCAAAACTTTTTTCTCATCCTTTCTTGTGTTCCTGGATTTTCAGGATGTACAGCCCCGAGAGCAAGAACAAGTGGCACCACCCGTAAATCTCCAGGTGCCATGGCTGCATGCAAGAAGAAAATATCTCATCTATTTAAGAGAGGCGATCGAAAGTCTTAAAAGTTTGGAGTGGTGGTGAAATTACGAGCAAATACCTGAAGATGATAGAGTTAATGTAGCTGGCCCTGGGAGGTAGGAGTTGTTTGCTTGGCATTTGCTTCCTTCCTTTCTCTACTATCACTGTTTGTAAGATTTTTGTACAGGTGTGAATAGTATATCATAGTTGTCAGCTTTTGCAAATGCTGGTGAGTGTATATCTCATCGTCAGCAAGCTCCTGTGCGAGATCAGATTTCTTATCCTCCAGTATCCTTCCAAAAACTAGTCTTAGCAAAATTAAAAAAATATAAAAAATGGGTTTTTGATTTTTGTGTTTTAACAGATTTTTCAGGCTTTCAAGATGCATTTGACGAGATAATAGCCTGTGAGAACCGAGGAGGCAGAGAAGGCGAGAAACGCCAGGAAGGCAAAGGTGACGGAGGCAGTGGATCTTGAGCACAGGTTGGTGCCGGACCCGTTCGAACCGCACACCCCGGAAACGTCGATCAGTGTGGCTGTGGCGGATGCGGCCGAGATCAGGAAGTAAGTGCTCATCTGCCAAAGAAAAGATCAACCATGAGAATCAATCTCATCGGCATTGCGTTGGTTTGGACCTGGTCGCAGATGAATGTCGCGTATTGGTACAGCGGAGTCACCCCAGCCGAAGACGTGGCGCCGCGGATCACGCACCAAAGCGAGAAACTTAGCTGCGCCAAAGCGTACGCGCATGCCAAAACACCGATGGCCACCGTGTAGCTGCAAAGAAGAGCACTCGCAACTTTGAGTCCGTCGTTCATTGGTGTGTGCAAGATCGCGCGAGAGAGGGAGGGAATTGGGGCATTCACAGAGAATTGGGACATACCTCAAGGATTTGATTGATCCTTGGACGTCGTGAAGAACATCCGCCATGACCGAGAATGCGATGAGCGAGAAGATGAATTGGAGCACCCGGAGCACCACAATCGCGGGCTTCTTCCAGTAGATCTGGGCCAAGTAGACACGCGACGGGACATAGGGCGATGGGGGAGCATCGAATTTGCTGCTTTGCTGCTGTGATTCTTCCATCGATTGGATTACCAAAATTCCCCTAGCTCGGTCGATCCTAGGCTAGGCAGCGCTGCGTATAAAACCCAGATTTCACGAAGGAAACACCCAAGTTGCCGACTTTGTACGCCGCGCAGGCACGATTGTGTGTAGCCGCTCTCCAGGAATTTAACATGGACACTTGCAAAAGTCCACGACGACGCGGGGGAGAAAGGATTAAATTACCCAACCGCGACATCCTTGAAACCTCTTCTTTTTGCGATATCACGTTGTCATGGTCCAAAACTTTGCCAAAGGCACCTTCCATTGCAGCTCGCTAAAATACTATAGAAAGGTGGAAGTTTCGCAGGTGGAAGAGTTCTTAGATCACTCTCATTGCCAGTATATATCACCATATTTCGTGTTAATGCTACAAATTTCATACACACTGCCAGAAAGCTTAGGTGGAGATCTTCACCTTCAGCTAGTTGTTTCCTCGAGAAAACATCGATCAAACATCATCTGTTTTAAGTGTAATTGTGTGGAGCACGGACAAACTTCTCAGAGCTCAGCTGGCGTCACAAGGGTCTACACTTCAAAGGGATCTGTTGGGAAGATTCATCAGTCCCAATCGCTCAGAAATGTGTTCCGATTGTGATCGATCCGAGGAAGGAAGCCTGTTGGACGTTGTGGTTAACTCTTGCTCCCACCTACGAGTTGCAAGTTGCGCTGATTGTCAGGTCTTTTTGCGATCTTTCTGGGTTGTGTAAGCGACCGCAAGAAGTGCTCACGGTTGCAGTCGTTCTTGCACGTTTCCACGGTTAATAGGTGCCGCAAATCTGGGTGATGCTCAGAAAAGGAAGAAAGAATTTAAGAAAAACCTCTCGCTAGCACGTCGAATGGTCTTCCTCTGGACGTGTGGAAAGAGATCAATTCCGTAAAAGCCACTGCTCAAGAGCTGGGAATGCATAATGCTTGAATTCTTACGTACGGTACGTCAGTAGACAAGTTGATCATTGGCAAGAAATGCTAAGTTGGATTTACGATGCCAAATTCGCTAAAGGACAGACAAACTGCATCATAGCACATTATCCCACGCAGCGAGCAAAAAAAAAAAAAGAAGAAATCCTCCTTTTCTTCTTCTCTTTTGTCTGGGTGCCAGTGGGATGATCGAGTGAGGGGCATTTAGGTCATGGGCAGAGGGGGCGGATGCATACCCAGCAAATCCAGGAAGAACAAGAGCTCCTCGCCGCTCTCCTCCAAGCCCGATGGAGGCGATCATCCAGGAGATGATCCGCCACAGACCCAATGCGGTCCGGACGAAATCCAGCAAGCCCAAGTCGAGAATGAGGACGATCCAGCGGTGGAAGCGGCGGTAGCACCATCTTCTCCTCCCGAAACCACCATCAAAGTCTACATTATGTGAGTTTTTTTTCTCTTCTCCTGCGATCTTTGATCTCGGTCTAAGATAGAGCGCATTCTCACTCGACGCTTGCTTAGATTCTACTCCATGTATGGTCACGTCGAGGCTCTGGCCAAGAAGATCAAGCAAGGCGTGGATAGCGTGGATGGAGCGGAGGGATTTCTCTTTAGAGTGGCGGAGAACTTGTCACAGGCGGTGTTGGACAAGATGCACGCTCCGCCGAAGGATGAGTCCATTCCAACCATCACCGCTGCACAGCTCGTAGCCGCCGACGCCTTTCTCTTTGGATTCCCCACGCGTTACGGTGCCATGGCCGCTCAGATGAAAGCTTTCTTCGATTCTACTGGGAGTTTGTGGCAGCAGCAAAAGCTGGCTGGAAAACCAGCCGGATTCTTCGTGAGCAGTGGAACCCAAGGTGGTGGCCAAGAAACGACGGCGTAAGTCAGTCCGAGTTATTTCCATCTTTTGCTTCGAGTGATCTTCTGAACTTATGACTTGCTTCTAGATGGACTGCGATCACTCAACTTGCTCATCACGGCATGGTGTTTATCCCGATCGGCTACACATTTGGTGCTGGAATGTTTAAGCTGGATGATTTGAGGGGTGGCTCCCCATATGGAGCTGGAACTTTTGCTGGTGATGGTTCCAGGCTACCAACACAGACCGAGCTTGAGTTGGCTGAGCACCAAGGGAGATATACAGCAGGAATTGCGAAGAGACTTGTTAATGCAGCAGACTAAAGGAAGAACTAATTCATTTTTATGTACAAATTTGGCCATTAAACTTTTATCTTTCCACATTAAATCTATTCTTAACCTAGTTTAGTTTTAAGTTACGTATTTATTTTTTGACAATCGTAAGTCAGGCAGAATTCCAATGCCCCACTCGCATGAAACCTGTTTGCCACTTTCCAACATCTTTCCTTCTTTTTCTCCCCAGTAGTGTCCTTTAACAGGTAGTTAAAGAAATATTTGATCATTCAATTGGTACCAACTTTTGAAATTGGGCACAAAAAACATTTTACCAGAATTTGTTCCCTAGCACTCAAGAATTAACTAATTATATGAATCAGACACCAAAGCTTCCATGGTATATGCCACCATATTTCTACCGACTAGAAAGTACTTCAAAAGGCATTCAGCGGAAGACTACACGGCTTGTAGCCTATCGCAATTGAAGGTGTAGCGTTTCCACCTATAATCGAGCAAACGTCAAAGCGAATCAGCTCAAAACACTGCGGTGAGAAAGTATTCGAAGAGCAGCGTGTTGCGCTTCCTTGTGTTTTTATGATGCAGGGACCCAAGCTTGACCTCCAAACCGAACCCTGTCCTCGATCTCTCTTCCCCGGCACAAAAAACAACTACACGCGACAGAGAGAGAGAGAGAGAGAGAGAGAGAGAGAGCGAGATACTTCTCTCTATTTCCTTTGAAGATCGATAGCTCTCGCTCGCCGGATCGCTTTCACAGGTGTCAATTGAATCCACCTATCGCGTGGTGGAGGGTAGCTTGGGCGTAATTGCAGATCGAATGTCAAGTGCGTGGACACAAACACTCCGGAACTTTTTTGCCGACTTGTACATGCGATCGAATTGTGTTCCCACCTCGTGACCTCCTCCAACACTCAACAGGATAAAACGCTTGATTCTATGCTCTCCTGCTGTGCAGAAGAATGGCTCCCTCCCTGTCTTTCGAGGCGGCAATCTATCGGTCAGCTGGTTCTGGTTCTTCCGGTGGTCGGAACTCGATAGCTTGTTCTTCGCGGCTGGAGACGCACCGGGTTTCGTCCACTCGCCGTCGTGCCTTGTGCTGCGCGCTGGACATAACGCGCGACAATGTTGCCACTGCTGCTGTTGCTACTGCTACTGCCTTTCCACGGATTGACCATGTCGAGCAGCAGCGGCTTGGGATCCTCCCGTTCTTGGAGAACAAACGAATCCTCATCACTGGAGCTACGGGCTTCCTCGGAAAAGGTGGCACTGGCGTTCTGCTCGAAACGTCGTGTATGAGTCTGCTCTCTTTGTTTTTCCAGTGCTTGTTGAGAAGATCCTGCGTGCGCAGCCGAAAGTGAGCAAGATCTACCTTCTCGTGCACGCTGACAGTCACGAGAAGGCTCGGCAGAGACTGGAGAAGGATGTAAGTCGCCTCCCTGCCGGAGTTTTTGTTTCTCTGAATCTGATTTTTCCCTGGCAGATACTGGAGTCGAGGCTGTTTGAGCTGATTCGGGAGGAGTATGGGGCCGACTATCGCCAGTTCATGCTTGAGAAGCTCGTTGCCATCCCCGGAAGCGTGGAGAAGAACGATCTGGGACTCGAGAAGCACACCAAGGAGCAGCTCCTCAGCCAGTTGGACGTTGTGGTTAACTCAGCCGCGACCACCAAGTTCTTTGAAAGGTTGGTTCTTCGCGGCTACGTACCAGTCTTGCGCTGATTTTGCAATTTCCCTTTCTTGGCTGTAAGATACGACGTAGCTCTGGCCGTCAACACGAAAGGACCGCTAAACCTGTTGGAGTTTGCAAAGAAGTGCTCACGGTTGCAGTTGTTCCTGCACGTCTCCACTGGTAAGTGCCGCAAGCCGCACACGATTCTCGTTTTGATACATCTGGGTGACAGCATACTCGAACGGGCTCAGACAAGGAAGAATTTTAGAAAAACCTCTCGCTAGCATGTCGAACGGTATAGCTCCTCCTCTGGACGTGTGGAAAGAGATTGACTCTGTAAGAAACATAAAAGCCACTTCTGAGGAACTAAAAGAGCTGGGAATGCAAAGGTACGCGGTCACTGGGAGGTGTTGGCCTTGACTTGTAATGCCGCAGAGCTCAGCTTCACGGGTGGCAAGACACTTACGTTTTCACCAAAGCTATGGGCGAAACGCTCGTCACCCAAAGCAGAGGAGACGTTCCCGTGGTCATTCTTCGCCCGTCGGTGGTGGAAGGAACTTCCGCACAGCCATTTGGAGGCTGGATCCAAGGCACAAGGTACGTGAAGTATTCCCACCTGCATAGCGAGCAAACAATGTGAGCTTACACAGGATGATGGACCCAATGCTTCTTGCCTATGGACTTGGCCACCTGACGGGTTTCTATGCTGATCCGGACTGCGTCCTCGATGTCGTGAGTTGCCATTTTGCTTTGTCACTGCTGTCCGCTGACAAGTTCGTTTGTGGCCTGTAGATTCCAGCAGACATGGTTGTGAACTCACTTCTGGCAGCCATGAGCGTTCACGCTGGACGCCCCGGCCTCAGTGTCTATCACGTTGGATCTTCAACAGTGAACCCCTTGACGTTCCGGGAACTAGCAGTGTGTACCGAAGAGTATTTCCAGTCCAATCCAGTCTTGGATGAAAACGGAAATCCTGTCGAGCGCAGGATGACGTTCTACGACAACAAGTTGGCATTCTCCGTCCATAAGTTTCTCTGCTACAGCCTCCCGATCCATGTAAGACCTCCAAACTTTCTTGCCTTAAATTCTTGTTATTCTTTTCAGGTTGCACGGTTATCTGGCAGCCGCAAGCTTCAAAACTCTGCCAAACGAACCGCTATCCTCGCAGAGAGACTTGATCAGCTCGTAGAAACTTATTCCGCTTACACTTTTTACAAAGGACGGTGAGCTATCTTCTCCGAGATTCAACTGTGTTGTAACAGCTTTGAACCTGCTTACAGGTTTGATATAACGAACACCAAAACACTGTACGAGCAAATGCTGCCCGAAGAAAAAGAAGGTTTTGGCTTTGACATCGGGTCAATCAGATGGAATGAATATATAACGAATGTACACCTACCAGGGCTCCGGAAGAACAACCGGAGCACTTTCAACACAAAATTCCGTTTGATCACCATGAAAGAGTCCATCCAAGGATTATTCGCAGTTTAAAGATCTAATTGGCAGAAGATATTGTCAATACTGTAATGTACGTAACACTTACCAATTCTTGCCCTCAACTTTTCATCGTACATGACTGTCTCCTGTCTGAACATCAGCTTCCTCGACCTCCTCAACTTCTTTAGCTTGAGCAAGTTCCTTCTTGATCTGTTCCACATAAAGGTCGCCAACCTTGGGATCGTACCGTGCAGCCCGCTCAAGATACTCCAAGGCTGCAAATTTCTGTCCGTCCTGGCTCAACAAGCTGAAATAAGAAAAGGAAGAAAGAGTTCAGAGATCAGCGTGTTTGAAAGATAGGTACCTTCCCAAAGTCACAAGGGCCACATTATATTTCTTTCGGGAAGCGCCATCCTGAGGTTCTTCCATGCTAGCCACGCACTTGAGCGCAGCTGTGGCCTCGCCTATTTTACCCTGCAAGCAATATAGTGAATTCGGTAGCCATCGATGGAAAACACCAACCTGCTTGTACAGAGCGATTCCAAGCGCCAAGTAGGCTGAAATTTGAAGCTTATTGTCCTTGGCCTGTTAAACAGATAAACACAGTAAATTGAGACAAGCTACACACGCTTCGGATACAACGACACCTTTGAAGCTGCTTGAGCAAGCAAGTCTGTTGCTTCAGCCCATTCACTGGCGTCTGTATGCAACTTTCCCAATGCGAAATAGGCTGTCGCATTTTCCGGATCTTTTTTCAGAGCAGCCCTGCCAGTTCAACGATGAAAGACACGTGATACCAGATGTCAATCACGAACACTCACTTCAAACATTGGACTGCTGCGTCACGGTTTTTGCGAACGACATGTTCCGCAGCGAGCTGCGCAAATTATAAAAGTTCACCACATTCGAACTAAGATAAACTTACCTTTATAAGAGTCTCGCTTTGAGAGGCACGAGGATCAGCAGAAGCTTTAGGTGCAACCATCACGGGCAAGCCTAATCTTTTTCGAAAATAGCTGCTTCTCAAACATAGTGTCTGAAATCATAAACGTCAAGCGCGAAGAAGCTGAATAAGAATTGCTCGGCTTATACCTGTGCAAGAGAGAACAAAGTGTTCGGGAGCCAGTACATGAAAACACCCTGCAATAAAGCTTGAAGATCAGAACCAAACCAAGCTATAAATACCTGAGGGAAATAAAAACCCGAGATACAGACTGGAATCACACAGAAACGCAGCCACCAGCCGTAGAACTGTTTGAAACATAAGTACGCTGCTCGAAAAATAGTTTTCTTACCGAAAGCAAAGATCCCACAATGCCGGGCTTTGGCTCAATTCCTTTCAAAGACACCTACTGCACAATCGCTAGATTTGACAATAGCTCCAGTCAAAAATTACCTCGATATGACAAATGTATGCAACGGAAAGTGATATCGGTAAGAGAGCTCCTAAATCTCCACTGACAGGAACAGTTAAGTCTGTAAACCATAGAGCACCACCCTGTGCGGAGAAGGATCAGAAATATTTACAAAGCCAAAGTTGTTACTGACTGTTTCAAATCCAGGGTACTTGTTTATGGCCATGTTTCTGATCGCTAAAGTCCAGGATATGAAAATAGGCACCTGGTGGAGAAAAGAATAAACGTAAATCTTTTTGTTTTCATGAAAATCTTACTAATCTTACTTGAACGAAAAGAGAAGCAAAACACCATGCAGGACTGGGAACTCCAAGCTCCTTTCGTTTCTGAGAATAGAGCTTGAATTGCTCTAACTGCGTGACACCACTCCCAGGAGGAGGAACTGGCGAGGGCACTGGACGTGAAGTGTGAGAAGTGAGATCACAAAAGGCCATAGTGGAGCTTACATTTTCCAGAGAGTTGCGCGAGCTGGGCAGTCTTTCGTAGCTGGATCACAGTAACAGGGAAAAGGGCCGCCCTCACAGCAATTGTTGATCCCGCAAGGACAATCCACCTGATCAAAAGAAAAGACGTAAAAACGAAATATTTGAAACGAGCACGAACATACCAGGGAGCTCCAGTTGCAACGTGAACGCTGTCCAGGAACGTAGCCACAAGGCTCACCGGACCTCTAAAGATCGTCCACAAATTACTTGTATCCAGATGAAATGCGTCGCCAATAGCCGGATCCCTCAAGATTTCGGGCGCTACCTGGAATTCCTCATCGGCGCCTGACGAGAACGACCGCATTGGATTCGTAATCGCGGAGGAAGTCGCGATCGGCATCATCCATGGGCGCCTTCGCACCAGCGCGCTCGCCAGACACCTCGCAGCCATAGCCTAAAACCCTAATCGAAGATTTTGTAAAACCCTAAACCAGTAGGGCTAGGATGGGAGAGAGCTACGACGGCACCGCATTGCTACTCGCCGTTCTTGGATCTGCCGCTGCCGGATGCGCATGCGCTGTCGTAATCCGCTTCATCGCTGGATTTGTGCTGGCTGTGTGGAGATCAGTAGCATGGATCTTGATCAGGAAGAAATCCAGTGTCGCGAGTCAAGCGAAGCAGCAGCAGCAGCAGCAGCATACTCCTCCGCCGGCTAGAAAGCGGCGAGTTTCTCCCCCTCCCCCTTCCCCTCCTCCTCGTCCTCCGGCGATCCCCGATCAGGAGCTTGGGAAGAAGAAGGCAGCGCCACAGGTGAAGCCTAAGGTAATATCCAAGAGCTAAGCTAGTGCTTGAATTTACTTGTAGGATCTTTGGAGAAGGTTTTGTTTCTCTTTAGTTAGTGTAGAGACTAATGTCTTTGATTCTCATATTGCGCAGGCACGGCCTACTCCTCGGCATCGTTTGGAACTCAACGCTATCAAAGGGCATGTCGATGCTATCACGGGCATTGCATTCTCGTCCAACAGTCGTGGCCTTGCTACAGGTAGAAAAAAAAATCAGTTTTTTCGATGTCTGGAGTATTTGACATGATTGTTTGATCTTCTTCCAACCAGCCTGTGCTGACAGAGTGGTGCGCATTTTCAAGCTGGATGATCCCACCAGCAAAAACTTGCAGTATGTATCGTTTGCTTTTCCGGTTTTCTTTGTTCTATCTTGCCTTTCGTTTTGCAGTGTTTTGAGGCTCAATGTGCCCCTTGGCACAGTTCCTACTGGGGTAGCCTTTGGAGATGGACCAGGTGCTGCGCAAATTGTGGTGGCTACTCAGGACATCAACGGGTCCGGGCTTCTCATGTTTGGTGCTCCCGAAGGAAAGGGTGCTGCGCAAGCAAGAGAGCAGGGAAAGGTCCCGCCGCCAGAAATAAAATGGAGGAAAACGCAAATCCATGACCGAAGAAACGTGCTAACTTGTGTTGGCGCTCGTTGCGAATATGGAAGTGGTGATGGCGAGAGTGTCTTGATCGCCACTTGTTCTGAAGGTGCGTTTTTTCTATCTGTGCTGTGGTTGGTTTTCTCACGCTTTTGCATGTTTTTTCCAGGCACCGACATCAAGATTTGGTCAGCAGGGAATGGCACCTGCGTGAAGACTGTAGACACGAACCAGCTTCAGAACACAATGGCTACGATTTCTCCGGACGGCCGCTTCCTTGCCGCTGCCGCTTTCACTGCTGATGTGAAGGTAGGCCTTGTTTCGATTCTGTACGAGGCTCTATTGAACCTTTTCTGGTTTTAGATTTGGGAGATCGTCTATGGGAAAGATGGGCAGGTTCGAGATGTGGTGAAGGTCATGCTGCTGAAGGGCCATAAGGTAACGACGTTATCGTAAACTACGTAATCTGATTCATGGTTTGGTGTGTAGAGCGCTGTCACTTGGACGTGCTTCACATGGGATTCACAGAAGATAATCACCGCGTCGAAAGATGGTTTCATAAGAATTTGGAACATTAACGGTACTAGCAGATCTTTCCATTCTCGTGTTGTACTGAAAGCCTTTTATGCAGTGAGATACCAGATGGATGAAGATCCCAAATGTATCAAAGTCTTCCCGATTCCATCGAGCGACAATGGCTTGTACGAGAAGATCGCCGTGTCCCCGGACGATAAAATTCTCGCTGCCACGCACGGGACAACTCTGACGTGGTTAAGCACTGCCGACGGCCAAGTTCTTGATACAGCAGAGAACGCACACGATGGTAAGTGCGAAGTTTTCGTAAATTCTAGTCGAGATCACTGATTTCTCGAAAACTTTACAGGTGAAATCACGTGCATTACCTGGGCTCCTCAAAGCGTCTCCACAGGTATATGAATCAATTTTTTAGAGAGGAACGTTTCGTGACGCCTTTCTTTCTTGTTTTCTTGCTAGATCAAGGCAAAGTTTTGATCTTGGCAACCGCGAGCGTGGACAAGAAACTTAAACTCTGGTCGCAGCCCCTTTAAAATGTTGAGCCCGCGAAATTCAAACTGACTGTTGAAATTGACGGCTGAGATTTATAAACTGGTGGCTTTAGCGTTCTCGCTAGGGTTTTTCGATCCCCGGCATGTTCCGGCGATTGATCGGCGATGATAGAAGCCGCGGCGGCTTGCGCCTCGAATCCAGGGGGCCGGATGGACGAATCGAAGCTAGACATGCTGGATCATCTAGCTGAGAAGAGGAATGCGCTGCTCAAGGAGAAGCGCAAATGCCTGAGGGACGAAGTATTGCAGCTCAAGGAGATCTTCACGGCGATGAAGGAGCACAGTGGATCGGATTATGCCGGCATGTGCAAGCGCTTGACAGAGGCCGAGTGCCGTCTAGAAAGGAATGTAGAGATCGGCAGCAACTGCAACGAAGAAGGAATTCGACCGAGTTCCAACAGTGGTGCCGAGAATGGGAATTTCAGCGGGTAAAAATGTTTGCCTCGAGAAAAGTAGGAAAGTCTTACGAGGAGATTGGATGAACAGCTCAAGACTTTGTGATATGCCAGGGCTTTCTGGGTGAAAGAGAAGATGAAAGAGATGGAAGAGAACTTGGCGCAATTCCAACAATCTCACCATCAGGTTGATTTTTTTTCTCCTTCTTTTTTTTTCTTTTCTTGTTCCGACTTTGCATATATGACCTTGTTCTCAGGTTGCCAAGGAAAACAACCTCATAATCGAAGAGCTGGAAATTGCAAAGTGTTGCAATGTCAAGCGGTATGCTATTGGACGTTGTTTTTTGATGTCGTTGATTTTTGTGTAAACTAGTTGTTTTGCAGTCCAGCTGACGCTGCCGACACGAGAGCTCTCGAGCACATTCTCAAGAGCGCCAAGAAAAAAAATGAAAAAAATGATACAGCCGAAGCTCAACTAAGTGTTGGTGACGCTGTGGCAACAGTGAATGAGTTGAGGAATGTGCTACAGCAGGCTGAGCCGCTAAAGCAGGTTGTCGACACAGCTAACGGACATTCTAACGCGACGATTGAGGGATTAAACCACAGGATCAAAGACCTCGAAAGTGAACAGAGCAGGGCGTTTTCCTATGGTATGCTGCTGGTTTAATCTTTTGACTCACGTCTGATGGGTCTTTTTGTGCAGAATTGAGACTAAAAGATGCGCTGCAAACAGTTTCACGACTGTCTGACGAAAATGACGGGCTTAAACAGGACCTTAAGTCAGCAGCAAGCAGATACATTGCTGCTGAGAAACAGTTGCTTGAGTCCTTCGACTCTATCAAGGAACTGAAACACGTTGTGAGCGACTTATCAAATCGTCTACGACGACCACAAGGTTGGTTTTTAAGAGTTTGGACATCTGAACGCTTGCTGCTGATAGGATAGGAGGCGATTTATTAGAAGATCGCAATTCCAGCTCTCTTTTGTGGAAAAAGATTGCCGAACTCGAGCGAGAGGTTTCTACAGGTTTGTCTTATAGTTTTTATGCTCATGAGGTTTGTACTCACCATTTTTACAGGTCAAGACAAGCTGCAAGATGCCATGTCGACGATTGCGCAACTTAAGGCGTCGAAGGCCTCGTTGCTGCGAGCTTTGAATGAGGCAGAGTTGATGAGAGAAATGTACGTGACAGCGAATGACCAGCTGAAACAAGCAAACCAGATAATCGAACAGCTTACAGAAAGACTGAATGAGATTGAGAGCGATCTCAACTCGGAAAGGGACAAAACACGTAATAAGCTTCGAGACACAGTGGCCAGCATCGACAGGGTAAACTTTCGACTTAAAAGTTCTCACGCGCTGAGGCTCAAGAACAGCACTGAACTGCCTCCGGACGCTTCGACGGACATTCTATCCATGATCACCATTCTAAGCAGCAGACTCTGTGTCCTCGAGCAGGAGCTGAGCGAGCAAGACTTGAGAAGGAAGGTTGAGAGTCCGACGAGACACAGCGAGCAATATCCCGACTGCTTTATGAAGATCGATGGCTCGCTCGTCCGTCGAGCTCGGGAAGAGTACAAGCTTTTGTGTTCAGGTAAACCAGTTCTCGCATCTTTATTGTTTGTTTTTCAAGTTTTTTCTCTTGCAGAAATAGCTGAGATTGAGTCGAAGAAACAGGCTGCCGCTGCAACACTGAAATCTCTCGACGAAAGTATATATGAAAAACGGAAGGCTCTGCAACAAAGCCAGCGTTCTGTGGAGGTTCACGCTTGTGCTTATCAGTTATGCCATATCACTTCGTTGTCTCTCTTCAGAGGACGCTCTCGGGTCTAGAAAACAACGCAGATGATTCCAAAAAGCTGGCAGAAATCAAACCAAGCAGCAGTGAAAGAAAACTTCTTGCTGGAGAATCCTCGGGAACTAAGGTAGTCTCTTGAACCCTCTATACAGGTCTGTGATGCATACTTTCGTTCCAGACTAGCAATGCTTGCAAGAGCATACAAACCGAGCATTCATTCCCGGAGAAGGAGCGCCACCTTTCTGGCCATGGCCTTGTGTGGGAGTTTGATCAGAATCGCAAGAGGGTGCAAGTGCCGAGAAAGAAGAAAAGGGACGTTTGTGTCTAATCTAGGGTTGGTGAGATGTAGCTATTACGGCTGGCCTGGCTCGTGCTCCACGTGAATTGACACTAATTAATTGGTTTACGAGCTGGTTGGCGACGTGCTGATCCAGTCCGCTCCAAAATGGCAGTCGATATTTGTGCACTAGTGTAACGCAGTAATTTATATTGTCCCCATAGTTGACAAGAGGAAACCACAAGAAAGCAGAGCACAGGGCGGGCGAGAATGGGAGGCGCAGTGTCGAGCGACGCTCAGATCAATGAGGCCTACAAGCGCATGAGCTTCAAGCACCGGATCATTTTCAGAGTGGGAAAGACTTCGTTGCGATTATGGATGTCTCAGAGACTAACTAGCTTTGCTCTTGTGTTCTTCCTCCTTTGTGATTGATGATATCAGATCGTCCATTTCGTCGACAAACACACGGCGTGGCACAAGCTCCCGCTTGTGTTCTCGCTGTTTTATCTCGACATCCGGAGGACACTCCACCAAAACTACAACTTGAAGTACGTCGGTCCTCCAATCTCAGAAGAAGAGAAAAAAGCCGCGCAGGATGATTGCATAGCTCCGCCTTTCCGGAAGAAAAAATCCGGTGGCGAGCACGTCAATGTCAAAAGTGGAGACTATGGATCATTCATTGGGAGAAATGCCTTTGCTGCAGCATCCGGATCCGAGGTCTCTCTCTCTCTCTCTCTCTCTCTCTCTCTCTCTCATTCATGAGATTCGATTTGCGTCGAGCAGGAACTTTTGGATCCACATCCCAGTGTTGTGGCGACCAAATTTCTGGCGAGAAAGGAATCCGAATTCGCGGACACGGGCAAGCAGTTCAACATGATCGCGGCGTCCTGGATCCAGTTTATGATCCACGACTGGGTCGACCACCAGGAAGACACAAAAGAGGTATGATTCGTGTGATCGAAGCCAAGGATTCTTCTCACGGATGATTTTGTTTTCGATCCAGCAAGAGATTGTAGCTCCGGAATCAGTCGCAGCGCAGTGTCCCTTGAAGGAATTTCGGTTCCTCCGCACGAAAGAGGACGAAACGGGCTCGCAAGACATCGCTTTGGGCCATAGGAACATGAGAACATCGTGGTGGTACGAAACTCTTGTAATTGGAGGGAAGTTTCATTTTACATTCTAGGGATGGGAGTGTTCTATACGGGAGCCACGACGGTGCGCTGGCGAGGGTGCGATGGCAAACTTAAGATTGGCCAAAATGGCCTCCTTGAGCGCGACGACCACGGCGTCGCCATCTCCGGCGATGTCAAGAACACCTGGGCCGGGGTTTCGATTCTCCAGGCGCTTTTCGTCAAGGAACACAATGCCGTGTGTGACATGCTCAAGGTGCGTGTGTCTCGATCGATCTCGAGCTCTGGATTGCCGCTAACTCGTGGCTATTCTCCGATATTTCGTTCCAGAGGACGCATCCGGAATTCGGGGACGAAGAGCTCTACCTTCATGCGAGATTGGTGGTCGCTGCCGTGATTGCCAAGATTCACACCATCGACTGGACTGTGGAGCTGCTCAAGACGAAAGCGCTCGACATTGGAATGCATGCAAACTGGTGAGCTTTTCTTCTTCACTTCCATCTTCTCCAGCGATTTCGACTGACTTCGAGAGTGCATCCAGGTATGGTTTACTGGGGAAGAGAATCAAGAGCTGGATCGGGCACACTGGATCCTCGCTGCTGAGTGGATTTATTGGAATGAAGGAGCCAATAAACCACGGCGTTCCGTACGCCTTGACGGAGGAGTTTACGTGCGTTTATCGCCTCCATCCTTTGCTACCAGACGACATTGTGCTGAGAGACATCACTGGCAGTGCGGAAGAGAAACAAACAAAGACTCCTCGAGCCACTGGAAAGAGGTACCTCCATCTCTTTTTTTTTCTTTTACCACTCCTGACTAAACTTTTTCTTGTGCTCTATAGAATTCCCATGATCGAGCTCATTGGAAGTGAGGGAGAAAAAACGCTGGGTAGCATTGGAAACGAGAGAATGATCGCGTCGCTTGGGCATCAAGCTTGTGGGGCGCTCGTTCTTTTCAACTATCCGCAGTGGATGAGGGACCTTCCCCAGACTGGAACCGACGGCATAAACCGGCCGAATCACGTCGACATGGCCGCCCTCGAGAGTAAGTTCTGTTCTTGCCAGACGCTTGTTGTCCTCGATCTTATCTTTGCTTCTCTGTAATTTTTGTCCCAGTTTACCGTGATCGCGAAAGAAAAGTTGCAAGATACAATGCCTTTCGGAGAAACATGTTGATGATTCCAATCAAGAAGTGGGAGGATCTCACCGATGACAAACAAACACTCGCCTTGCTGAGGGAGATATACGGCGAGGACGTGGAGAAGCTCGACTTGCTCGTCGGCTTGCTGGCGGAGAAGAAGATCAAAGGCTTCGCCATTAGCGAGACGTCGTTTTTCATCTTTCTCCTCATGGCCACCAGGTAAAAACTGCTAGAACCAAGTCACAGTTTTAACACATTGCATTGCTTTCCCACAGGAGGCTAGAAGCTGATCGATTCTTTACCTCAAACTTTAACGCCAAGAGCTACACCAAGGAGGGACTGGCGTGGGTGAACAACACCGAGAGCCTCAAAGACGTCCTCCAGAGGCACCACGGCAACTTGGTTGATAAGTGGCTAAACGCACGCAGCGCATTCAGCGTGTGGAGTGCGTGAAAGTTCCCTCGATCTTTCCAGCCTCCATTTGGTTGTGCCAGTACCTTCTCTTCCATCGAGACTCTTTCCTCAAGATATACTTATCTCATACGGCTCATACGTCCACGAACTGTATGTCAAGAGTTTGTGGATCGAGTTGCCAGACGTTGAGAGCCGCGTACTCTTCCAAGCATTGCCTGAGTTGAGCTTCCTTGTACCCCTGGAAATGAAACAAGCATTAACGAATAAAGAGAGCGGAGAACTTTGGCATCGCAAAACCTTGACTGAGATCTGGTTGAGCACATCTCCATACTTGAGCCTCAAGGTCCTCAGCCTTGCCGATTCGTCGCGAATGATAGTGTATATAGTGGAGATTGGATCCAGCCCGGTCTTTCTCTGGTCGTCCGCATACACCGAGAACTTGGACATTTGCATCAGCCTCAGTGCCTCATCAACGTCGCTCTGGACCACCGTGGTGGAAAACCTGAGACGCGCCAATGCCTGAAGATTTATACTTTAGTACAAAATGAAACCAGCAAAGAACAAAAGAAACCATCACCTCTGATATTCTCATTATGCTGAGCAGAGTCCGTGCGGTAGTGTAAGAATGCGGTGCGTTGCTCTGGGCCTCCTCTTGGCGCAAAGCTGCGTAGGCGCTGGAAATATATTCTGTCAAGGTACGCGGTACAAAAGGGACGACTCTTCTGGCCATGGCGACGTAAGCTCTGCAACAAAAAATCATGAAAAACTATTACCTTACGACAATTGTAGTGGGACCATGTACCTTAACATGGATGGTTCCAGCGGATTGCCAGCAGTAGGAGGCGGTACACCGTGTGTATGCACGTGAAGAACGTGTGTTGCCATTGCAGAGTCTATCTCTCTGTCTGCTCGATCTAGAATGAGCCACATTAAATCGAATCGGGAAAGCAATGCCGGTGGTAAGTTGATATTCTCTGCCGGCGTGCGTCGCATATCATATCGTCCCCTGCCGTTTGCGAAAAGAAAAGATTACAACATATCATTGATCATAAAGAGGATTTACCATGCTGGATTTGCTGCCGCAAGGATAGCGGTCCGAGCATTTAGACTAGTTGTGATGCCAGCTTTGGCAATGCTTACAGTCTGTTGCTCCATCACTTCATGGATAGATGTTCGATCTGTTTCATCCATTTTGTCAAATTCGTCGATAGCACAAATGCCCATATCTGCCAAAACCTTGCCAACAGTTCGATTGTCAGCACAATGCAAACTTTATGAGAAGAAAAGAGAGCATACCAATGCACCGCCTTCAAGGACCATCTCGTTTGTAACGGGGTCTCTGTGCACTGCAGCTGTCAGACCAACACCACTGCTACCCCGACCCGTGGTATAAACTCCCCGAGGAGCGATGGTTACCATGTGTTTCAAAAGTTGACTCTTGGCAACTCCAGGGTCTCCCATCAAACAAACATGCAAATCCCCTCGTATCTAAGACAATTAGCATATGAAGCAAGAAGGAAAGAAACAAACTACGAGAACGTACCTTCATACCATCTTTTAAATGGCGCGTTGGTGCTCCAACAAGAACCAAAAGCAATGCTTTTTTGACATCGTCATGACCAAAAATTTCCGGAGCTATGGAAAAGGATAGCCTGTCATAGATTTGCCCGTCTTGAGCAAGCGCTTCGATTGTGTCTTGCTCAATTCCACTAAGCACATATCTGTAAACAGGCTACTATTATAAACAAGAAAGATAAAAGAGAAACAAAATACAAACTCTTCGTAGCGTTTCTTTGTATGTTTTATGGACATAGCTTCCAGATACGTATCTGCTACGAGTCCTGCACGAATCGCCCGGAAACCGGTAAATGGAACTGGGAGGAAAATCCCAGATATCTCTACCAAGTCTCCAGGCCCGAGCTGCAAGGTCAACATTAAGAGTAGCACAGAAGAAGCCTTGAACTAAACACTACCTGACGAGTCAGTTCACCACGAATATTGATGGTCATGGATCGTGGTATGTGGCCTTTAGGGACATGCTCAGCTAGCTCTTGGATCTTGGCCTGTTGTTTTCAATGGTTAAGCGATTAAGAAAGAAATAAAATCTCTAACTCACCTCTTGGAACTTCAAAAACTTGGATGCTCTGAGCTGAAGTATAAGCCTCCCTTTGACGTTGTTGGTACGACACCTCGTAGAAGGACATTCCAGCAGCGGCATAAACGTGCGGGAAGTAACTTCCTATCAATAACAAATCAAAATGTAGCCACTTCAATCCAGATGCTCAAACCTGATATATCTCAAACCCGCATTCTTCACATGTGTAGACAGCTACTTGGATCAATGGTTTCACGTCCGAGCAACGAGTAACGATGCCTCTGACCTTGACAAGTTGTCCAATATGAGACGCTCTGACTTCCCTCAGCGCTCGAGGCTTCTCACTGGTGAGAGCTGTAATATGTACTTCACTGCAGGACAAACGTGAGATCCAGAGAACAAACTCACTACAAAGAAAGAACTCACAAGTATCGTTTGATCTCGGCAGGAAGCGTTTGACGTGGATCTGCATTGTCAGCGTTTTCACTGGGATCATTATTCCTTTGTCGCATGAGCACTTCATAGTCGTCATCCACATCGATAGGCACCGTGGGGTCGGGTAGAATCTCATCTATGGCCTCAGCAAACAATCCAAGGTAGCGCTTTGTGTTGGTCCGAATTCTTTGCACCAGCATCTCAGCGTCAAAATCCTGGAGAAGGCAAAGAGAGACAATAAGAACAAGAAAACGATCAAACGACAGACATCTTACATTACAAAAGTCATCCAGAGAGATATCCACCGAGCGCAATTTTCTATTGGCGACTTGTTGCTGAGAAAGAATGGAAGAAACGATGAGAAGCAAACTCCTCGCTCGCTTACCAGCATCTCCAGATATTTCATCCGCCCATCGGCATCCACAAAACTCCTGAGCAGATCCTTGCATTGCTCTGGAACAATCCAATCAGCGAATGCTGGCCGAGAATCGACTCTAGAAGACGCACCTTTGTCGGACTTGTAATCTGGAGTCTTGCCGGAGAACCGCGTCGCACCCTGGGAGCTCCTGGCCGCCATAGCCGAGCACAAAAACCCTAGAGCAAAGTTTTGGCGGGAAAAAAGCAAAAGTCTCTCTCTCGGGTTATTGTTACCATTATTTGGAATACCCCAAAAACCGTTCACAAGGTAACCAGCAACAAGAGTTCTGGAGTTTTAGAGCTCGCGGCCAAAATCCCCGAGCTCAAAGTTCTTAGAAGCACCAAAAAAACTTCTTTGTTCATCATCGTCACCGAGTTCCAGCAGCCGCCTCCTTTGTCACTTGCTTACTTCTCCTTGGAAACCTTAGCCAAGTTAGCAGCCTTTGCGACCACTTCATCGATTCCTCCAACCATGTAGAAAGATTGCTCTGGCAAATCATCGTACTTGCCATCCAAAACACCCTGCAAAGAATCCAAACTTCAGTCCTTTGCTTGCTAGGAAAATATGAGAAGAGCTTTTGATGTTTACTGACCCGAAAACTCGCGACGTTCTCCTTCAAGTCCACGTACTTTCCAGGGGAGCCTGTGAAAACCTCCGCGACATGGAAAGGCTGGCTCAGGAAACGTTGCATCTTCCGAGCCCGAGCCACGGTGAGCTTGTCGTCTTCGCTGAGCTCGTCCATTCCCAGAATGGCGATGATATCCTGTAAGTTCTTGTAGCTCTGCAACACCTTTTGGACGTCACGAGCGCACTGGTAATGATCTCCTCCAATGACACGAGGAGACAGCATACGAGAGGTTGAGTCAAGAGGATCCACGGCCGGATAGATACCAAGCTCGGAAATCTGCAAAACAAAAGTGAAGGTGTCAAAAGGCTCCAAGATAAGAACAGTGTCGCTGTACCTGGCGTGAAAGCACAGTAGTTGCATCAAGATGAGCGAAAGTCGTCGCTGGAGCAGGATCTGTTAGATCATCAGCAGGCACGTAGATGGCTTGCACTGAGGTGATGGATCCCTTCTTAGTAGTCGTGATTCTTTCTTGTAAACCCCCAAGATCTGTTGCCAGAGTGGGTTGATATCCGACAGCAGAAGGAATTCGTCCCAGCAGAGCAGACACTTCCGAGTTTGCCTGTAAGTTTCAAACGAATGAGGGAACATTCCATGTGAAAAAACACAGCACCTGAGTGAAACGGAAAATGTTATCAATAAACAGTAGCACGTCCTGGCCTTCTGCATCACGGAAATACTCTGCCACTGTTAATCCTGTGAGGCCAACGCGAGCACGAGCACCCGGGGGCTCATTCATCTGCCCGTACACCAGTGCGCACTTGCTTTCGTTCTAAACCAAGTGAACACAGAACTAGTTAGATAAGAACAATGCAAGGCAATGCTTACTTGCTTGTCACCCAGCTTGATGACACCACTTTCAATCATTTCTTTGTAGAGATCGTTTCCTTCACGAGTGCGTTCCCCGACACCAGCAAACACAGAATAACCACCTGAAAGATCAACACTGAGCTATGTAGCTTATAAAACCGGTGGCCAGTGTACCGTGAGCCTTAGCAATATTGTTAATAAGCTCCATAATCAGCACTGTCTTCCCGACACCAGCACCCCCGAAAAGTCCGATTTTCCCACCTCGTTGGTATGGTGCAAGAAGATCCACCACCTGGATGAAAGAATGGCTTGTTAACCAGTATAGAAAAATGTACATTTGCATCGTACCTTGATTCCCGTCACCAAAACTTCCTGTTCTGTGGACTGCTCAGTGAAGACTGGAGCCTCTCTATGGATTGGGAGATAATGGTCAGTGACTGCGAAAACAAAAAGTAAAGGTTTTCATTAGAACGAAGCGCTGTAGAGTAACACTTACCAAAATCCCCAATTTCATCGATAGGCTCTCCAATCACGTTCATGATCCTGCCGAGCGTGCACCTCCCAACGGGAATCTAGAGACAATGTCATGCGTGACGTAAAGAACCTACATTGGCGAAAAACTTACAGTGATGGGAGCTCCGGTGTTCAAGACCTTCTGCCCCCTCACGAGCCCATCGGTAGTGTCCATGGCGATCGTCCTGACGGTCATATCGCCCAGATGCTGGGCGACCTCGAGCACGACGCGAAAGGAGTGATCCTGGACCTCGAGAGCGTTCAAAATCGATGGCAGCTCCTTGTCAAACTTGACATCCACCACGGCGCCAATCACCTGAGCAATGTAGCCCAGGGCTTCCGGATCCTTCTTCACGGCCGCCGCTGTGGCGTAGGTCCTAGTGCCCAGGCCATGGCCATCGCTACTGAAAGACGAATCCCCAGTTGCCCTCCTCGATGCCGGGAGGAGCGCTGAAGAAAAGGAGAGCGAAGACAGGCACCTCGCTCGCTGGGACGAAGATTTCCTCGATGCCGCACGGAGGAGCTGCCCCAGCGCCCGCCTCGACGCCATAGTAGCAATTCGCTCGCAGCTCCAAACCCTAGGGCGTACTTACTTTGGAAATGCGTGGGCTATATCTTGCTCAGAGAAAACCTCCACCGTCCGATGGTAATCCCAGCTAGAATATGCGAAGATGTTCCGTTCAATCAAAAGATGGTATATTCCGTCAAACGGCTATTAGGGCTAGGGCATCAATGGAGCACGAAGAGAAGCTGGAGAGGGACGAGGGAGGGAAGCGCGGCAGGAGGAGCAAGAGGAGGCATGAAGAATCCGATTCGAGGAGCAGGAGCAGCGATAGCGGTAGTAGCGAGAGTGAAAATCGCAGGAGCAAGCGTAGGAAGCGGCATCATCGACGAAGAACTAGAGGATCATCTGATAGTAGCTCGTCCGGGGAGGAGAGCGATGGTAGCGACGATGTGAGTAAGCGCTCACGCAGCCGAGTAAGGCACAAGGAGGAGCGAAGGCACAAGAGCAGGGATAAAGAGAAGAAACGCAAGGATAGGGGGAAGGGGAAGCGAAAGGAGGAGAAGAAGAAGAAGAAAAAGGAGAAGGCCGAGCGCCAGAAGAGTGGGCCTGTGACTGCTTCATGGGGGAAGTATGGACTTATCAAGGAGATCGATATGTGGTGAGTCCATAAATTTTTTTCAATATGTTTCTGGATGGCATTGCGAAGCTTTGTTTATGCGCAGGAACAAGAGGCCGGAATTTAGCGCATGGCTTTCGGAAGTGAAGAAAGTAGGCATTTTCAGAAAAGAAAATGTTTCTTCTTCTTACTGTGTTGCTTGGTTTTCTTACGCAGGTCAATCTGGAGACGCTACCGAATTGGGAGGAGAGACAAATGTTTAAGGAGTACGAATTTTTTCTCATGCGTGCATTCGAATTATGTGAGCATTGAGTTGCATGACCTATCTTGTTTTCGCTCTTTGTGGATTTGCTTTCCTTCGAGACAGTGTGCTTTGGAATTTCCTGATGTCGTGGCTTGTTGTTTTACAGGTACATGGAAGATTATAACACTGCAACACTTCCCTCGAAGAAGTCAGTAGTGCTAGAGTCAAGGTTTTTCTTACTTTTTTTAACGTTGATTTCTTCGTAGGTACTACAATGTTGATAAGTATCACCAGCGAAAGATGTTCAAGGAGTGGAAGAAGGGCGCCAAATACAGATCTGTCGAAGTGGAGCGGACAGAATTCAACGATGAAGAGCAACGAAGGTATTTTGCTCTGATAGGATTTTCCCATCATACACACATTTCTGTTTCAGGCAAGAACTAAAAATGCTGCGGGAGCATGAGAAAGAGGCACACATTGAAGAACTAAAGCACTCGATGAAAACTGGCATGGTGCGTTCAAATAAGTCCATCCGTAAAGTTTGTTAAATGATCTCCACTCCTTTGGTAAATCCCGCAGGCACAAGCGATGCGTGAGCAAGCCCAACTTCGTGAGGAAATGCAGTACCAATATCGTCTCGGGAATCTCGAAGTAAGCACCTGTCATCCTTTTGATCTTGTGAAATGTGACGCGAACGTATTGCCAGGCAGCGAATGCGATCCAGAAGCGCCTGGAGCCTGACGCTTTGTAGTACCATATAGAGAGAAAAAACTATCAAATCGAACACAGCCAGAGTTGCATTTTGCTGTTGTACTCCATGGGTACGTTAAGCAAATCTCATTGTGACTGATTCTCGATAATGATTGCGATGAGTATTTAGAGACAGTACCGATCGTCATGAGAGTGTGAAGAAGTGGAGGAGAGCGTTATGCACCCCAGGTTATTTGTATTAATTGGTGCTTAAGTATTGCAACGCTAAAAAAAGTCCTTTGTACTGCAGCTCTACAGCCGAGCCAAAAAATGTTGAGAGACGAGGTCAGAACAAAAGAAAGCTGGATCTGTCCAGCACTGCTTTTGAAGCAATCAGCCCTTTTTAGCCTTTTGGCCTGCATCAGTTAACGTTTTCTTCCTTTATTTCAAACTACCACTAAAATCTTGATGAGCTTTACAGAGAGAATTCTTCCTCGGTAGTATTTATGGGATTGGAAGAAAGGAGGGAGTGCTTGTTGGTGAGTGACTGAGAGAGAAGAATGGAGCGTTTGTTTGTTGCTGGTTTTGTTCTTTTGCTTGCTGTTAGCTTCGCGCAGGCCAAGCAGCGGCCTCCAACTTTCGACGAGAATTTCTCTGTTATGTGGGCTGACGACCATGTACAAACAACTGGAGAAAATGGGAGCCTTGTGCAGCTGATGCTCGATAGCAACTCTGGTAAGTAACATTCTTTCAATAGTCTACTGATTTTCCTTTACGTTTTCTTTGTAGGATCCGCCTTCTCGACGATAAAAAAGTACCTGTTTGGATTCATCAGCATGAATCTCAAGCTGGTTCCGGGTGATTCAGCCGGAGTTGTCACTGCTTACTACGTAAATCTTCGTCTTTCTCGATGCTTCAACTTTTATTTCCTTTGTTTCGCAGCTATCGTCCGAGACCGACAACCGAGATGAGCTCGACTTCGAGTTCCTTGGCAACCGATCCGGGCAGCCATATACTTTGCAAACCAACGTCTATAGCAATGGAAAGGGAGAGAGGGAGCAGCGGCTGATGCTCTGGTTTGATCCCTCTCAAGACTTCCACGCTTACTCGTTCCTCTGGAACAAGCATCACATTGTGTAAGCTTTCCTTTCATTCATTTGCTCGATCTTATCTCCGAGTCGCAGGTTCTACGTCGACAAGACCCCCGTCCGCGTCCACAGGCTCACAAGCGCCACCCAAGACGTGTTCCCGTCCAAACAGCCAATGCGGCTCATCTCGAGCATCTGGAACGCCGACGGCTGGGCGACGCGCGGTGGAAAAGAGAAGATCGACTGGAGTGGAGCGCCGTTCGTGGCGTCCTACGCCGAATTCGCCGTGGATGGATGCGACGAAGGGGACGCTGCGTGCCTCGCAAACACGAGCAGCCACTGGTGGGATGGGCCGAGTTCGTGGGAGCTGAGCGTTCAAGAAGAGCAAGCGCTGGGCGTGGTGAGATCCAAGTTCTTGATATATGACTACTGCCTAGACACCAACAGGAATCCATCACCTCCCACCGAGTGTAGCGTTAATCCCAAGTAGATCCATCAAAAGTATGTGCCTTCCAAAACCACAGGGTGGTGCTGCTGGGTATGTGGTTTCCAGGGGTTTGAGCATTTGCTCGTGTTATCACTTAGCTGTGGCAACCAAACTGTGACAAGAACGCCGCGGGATGGTGGGTGACACAGCTAATAACGAATGTGGCCCTCAACGCAAGCTCGGATATGGTGGTCTCGGCGCTTTTTTAGCTCGGGCTGTGCGTAAGAATCCAAATAAGAGAGATCCATGTAGTTTGTTCTTGGATCAGACATCCAGCAAGTTGAGTATTCGAAGCCGGCCAACCTTGCCGACCTGGTCAACATTAGGAGACAGCTGTGGAGTCCAAGTCGAGTTTCTCAAATCGAAAACCTTGCGGAAAAATTCACGACATCGTAGCGAAACACCAAGCCAGAAGAAGTTTACCAGCGCATCGCTCAGGTGTGTCCTCACAGCGTCCCCCAACAACATAAAGCTTTTCGTTGAGCACGACTGCACCGTGCTGCAAGACGACGCAAAGTTAGGGCCGGATCTTGCTAGAACTTACTAGACATCGAGCTTGTGGGTGAACCGCGCTAACAGCTTCCCATTGGGCTGCCGCACCGCCGCTAAACCACCACTTCCACATGTATAAGGGGGTCAACTTTTACAACGGGGAGGCCATTCGCAGGTTTGCAAATTTAACACCATTCAACCCAGCTGTCTGAAGAGCGCAAGAAACGCAAACTGATAGGATTTCTAAATTTATCTCTTTACACGTACACGCAACTAAAATACAGAATTACGCAAGGCATCCAATTGCGTATGTATTTGGAAAAGATATAGGTGTCTTGAGATCAATATATCGTCCATGCTGCATGTTAGAGAAATGTTGCACTGTTGGTTTTCACAGGCACGTCTCGTAAGACGGGCAAATAACAAACACGTCACGGATCCTGAATATATGCATGATCCAATGTTGGCACAACTACACCTGTTTACAATTATCCATCGCACAAGAATTTCATGGAAACAAGCAGGAGGAGGAAGTGCATCTTGAGCATCGATGGAGGTGGAGTGAGGGGTGTTATTCCCGCAACAATTCTTGAGTACCTTGAGGATTGCTTACAGGTTTCTTTGGGAAAATTATCAAAGCAGAGTCATCTTTATTGGCTTTGATCTGATCTCTCTCTGTCAGGAGCTAGATGGTCCTAGTGTCAGGCTCGCGGATTACTTTGACACCATTGCTGGAACCAGCACCGGAGGGATCATCGCCGCAATGCTGGGGACTCCTGGCAAAGACAATCGGCCAATGTTCATGGCAAAAGAGATCACTGGGTTCTACTTTGCGAATGCGCAGAAGATATTCCCGCAGTACTTGTATGTTCTCCTTGTTCTTTTTCAGCTGGAAAAAACTTTCGAGCTCCTAGCAATGAATTCTCACTCTGAACAGTCTCAAAAGCGCTGCTGGACTCTTCGGGCCAAAGTACTCCGAGAAGCCTATGGAGAGCCTTCTCCACGAGTATATTGGCGACTTGAAGATGAGAGACACACTCGTTCCTCTCGTCATTCCAACCTTTGACACTAAACTCCAGCAGCCTGTGTTCTTCACAACTTCAGAGGTTTGTGTCCATGATTTTGTGTTCTGATATTTAAGAAGTTCAAGACTTCCAGGCCAAAACAAACGAATCCAAGAATGCGTTTCTCCGAGATGTTGTCCGGGGCACCACCGCGGCTCCAACTTATCTGCCTCCAAAATATTTCCAGATGCCTACGGGAGTGGAATTCAACCTGGTTGACGGTGGCCTCGCCGCAAACAATCCAGTAATTTTTCATACGGTCTTTAAAGCTCTAGTCCTTTTACTCAACTAATTTCTATCTATGTGAAGACTTTTCTAGCCATTGTTCAAGCTCTGAAGGATTCAGAAGCTCAGGATCCAGGATTGGTAGGCACTAAACTGCTCGAGGTATATAGATAACTATATTTCATTCGTGTTAGCTATTGTGAATTGCTATCAGAGGTTCGAGGAGTTGCTGGTCATATCTCTTGGTTGTGGCGATCAAACCGTGAGCTACACGGCCAAGGAGATAGCAAAATGGGGGGCTCTCGGCTGGGTGGTTCATGAGAACGGGGCTCCAATCATCAACATGCTCTCTAACGCAAGCGCCGACATTGTTGACCACACCATCTCGTCGCTCTTCCGACTTAGTGTGTGCGAGCAGAACTTCCTTCGGATTCAGGTACTAGAAAAGTTCGAGTTTGACAAATGTCGTGGATTTGGAATTTTTCTTTTTGACAGACGCCGGAGCTCGAGGGCAGCATTGCGGAAGTTGACAACTCGAGCTTGGAGAATTTGAAGAAGCTGGCCATGGTTGGGAAAGGCTTGTTGGAACGGCGAGTGCAAATGGTGAATTTGGAAACGGGTACCTGGCAAGATGTTGGGAATGAAACCAACCAAGAAGCCATTAAGAGGATGGCTAACTGGTTATCACAGAATAGAAAAGGCACAAGTCTTTAAAATTCCATTTTAAGATTCTCATTGAAAACAATTATAATTTAGAAATGTAAGTAGTTCAATTTTTATTACATCTTCAGGCGAGGCTTGTACTTACCGTGTCAATGCACATGAAGAGCTAGAAACCGGAAAAGGCGACTAAACAGCAACGCCTCCATGTCGAATGTCAATGACAAACTGTTTCAAGAGAAAATTCAAGCACTTACATAACACTTCCAGTAATCTCTTTGGTCTGATATTGTCTTCCTTGCCTTCAGGAAAACATTAATTTGTTCTCTAGGCTCGTTTCTTGCGTTCGTAGTCAAATCCTGCAAGAGATTTAAAAACCAGATTAGAGAACGAGCAGAGCAAAAGAAAAGCAGAGCAATCCTTGACGAGCCTGACGACACAAGGTCCCACTTCTTGGCCCCGCGTCACAGGAGCAATCCTTTCTCCCGGATAGTCACTTGCTGCACGACTGCATTCCGCGATATCTTTCTCTGTGGTGTTCTCTGCTACGCTCCCATTAATACGCCAGCTGTGGAACAAACTCTCCAAATCCTTGCCACTTCGACGAGAGCTTTCGCTTATAGGCCTCCTCTACCATGACGGAAGCACTCGAAGTTGACGTTTCTGCAGCGAACTATCGTCGGGCCGTCCAAGCGACGCTCCATGCTAGCTCTCGTGCACTCTGCACTCAGATCCCGTTAACAAACAACATATCTCAGATTGAACTCTACCTGGTAAATTTATTTCCCGGAAAACAATCTCAAACTCTTCTGGGCTTTCAATGAAATTTTCCATGTATTCGACCTTGATATTCCTCACAAGAAACGCGTCATGTGTGTTCAAGTCCTGCAAGAAGACACAGTAAATCAAATCACTAAGATTTCACTCCCACACTCACCGATAAAAAATATAAAAACCACTTCATTTGCCTTGTGGTCTCCACCCAGCACTGGCTTTAGCAAATGGTAGCTTCCAGAAGACGCCCAGTACAGCATGTCGTCCGGTCGCCAGTCCGTCAGAGAACTCGAATCTTCTTGCACACATACTGCGGCCACGAAGTTCACAAAGCTCTGCTCGGCATTGATCTGGAGAATGCCAGAAGGCATGCACTCTCGCCATATCTCATATTGCGCCCAAACTCATTCCTCTGATAAGTGGGCGAAGGGGAGTTTTGGCAGAGTGGTAGACCCTGTTGTCTGTAGGCCTCGTTGATCTGTCCACCATAATATATTGGTGTTTGCCCTGGCCATCGGGGCATTGGAGCCACTAGAAGAAGAGGTTGCTCATGGCCCTCGTCGGACAATGGAGCTCCAAAACTGTGGAGTGAAGCTCGACTTTGGAACGAAGACCCGCGAATCTGTCAGTCGAATGCTGAGAGCGTCCATGATCTTTTGATGTCCTGCTAGGAAAGAAGAAAACGGAAAAACGTGAAAAGGCTTGAAGAAAAGAAAATGGTCTACGTACTTGATCGCTCCTGGCTGGGATCCAGATGCATGTTTCTGGCGCAATCCGGCATTCCGTCCCATCATGATTAGTCTGTTGGATTCGGTAAGAAACTCACTTTTCTTTTCTTCTCGTTTGACTCGATTTTTGCAGGTGAAAGACGAGGAAGACGAAGAGGATTATTGGACAGACGAGAAGTTGCATGACTGTATGTTTCTAGACTTCAGTTCCTTCGGTACTGATTCTTTGTCTGCTTTCCAGCGATTGATAAGCTACTCTGCTGCTTCAAGCCTTGACAACACCTCCCAAAGCGTTCGAGTCCAAATCAAGCCCCTCCACCACGTTTTCGACGTGACAGAGCCCCTGTGCCAGCTTTTCTCTCGGTAAAAAGGGATCATTGTGTTACCGAGACTAAACTAGCTCAGTCTTTCCGCCAACAAGATGATGGTGTGGAGCTGGAAGATGGAACAACTCTCTCGCTCATTGAAATTCTGGCGACTACATGTCAACAATTTGACTCGTCTCACAAGTATGACAAGTGCTCAACTCAAGGAGCTGGAAGTGTGTCTGTGATTCAGGGAAGGAACTAGCATGCCCCAATCACAACGACCTTTTGAGCAGAGTTGGTCAGGGATCTCATTCTCGAGATTTCCTGTCGGTTTGGGTTAGCAGCAGAGATCCAGAGCCAAGCGGCTTGTATACCCATGCCTTTTGCAGATATCGTAGCGCACCTTATCAACGTGATGCTCGGAGCACGAGAAGTGGTGCAGCTCATCGAGGAAGGACGGGAAGAGGGGCGCGATGCCATCGCGGGCATAGATTTCATGGATGCTGCGCGCCAAATACTTATTACCCACGGTGCTGCGCCATTTGTAGAAGACGCGAACAGCATGGCGTCCGCCCAGAAGAGCTTGCGCCTCTCCTGATGACGCACCAGCCGGGCGCTGCAAATGCGCAGCAAAGGAATATCAGGGATTTCCGCTAATTGCCAATAGACGACAGATGTGAGATCAAGTTGGATCACTCTAGATAGCAGACACAGAGAAAGAGTCTTCCAATGGCATTCATGTTAGTTATCTTCAACTGTGCACATTGGTTCTAGGATGCAAATTTTACTAGATCCATAATTATAGCCATATGTATTAGCATTATTAGTGTTTTTTAGATTGGCATTTTCCATTTCTTAAGTGAAGTCCTTCATACTAAGAACATTTTATTTATGCAAGGTTTTGATATTAGGATTTTTCTGTAAAATGAGAAATCATGTAAGTAGTGAAAGGATTTTGTATGAATAAGTTAATGACCCTCAATCCTTACAATGCCGTATACTAATATTAGCGTAGTGGGATTTTGGTAACTATCGGATTGGTTTCAATTTAGACCACTCGCTCCTGTATGTAAGCTAGGGTTTTTGGGGTAATTGATATGCACATTTCTGTATTCCTTTTCTATATTCCATGCACTCACAGAGAAAAATATTATTTAAAAGACTTAAAGTCTTTAAATGTATAAGTTTCATTTTATGACAAAGCTTGATAAGAATATATGTTTTTATATTAATTATCATTTGTTAAATGATGTGATGATCTTGGATATATACCCTCTTCCTCACATTACCAATTTTCTAAACCTTTTGGAGCAAAGTTGTTAGTTCACTAAATTAGATTTTGTTTTTGGGTACTAATAAGTGTCGATGGCTAAAGAGGATGTTCCCAAAACTATTTTCCATACCCCATTTAGTTTATATGAGTTATTAATGATGTCATTCAAATTGAATAATGCTCTAATAACTTTTTAGTAAATAATAGTGAAATTTTTGTGATATGCTAGAGATGACTGTTGATTTTATTAATTGTATCTTGATCCACTTAAAAGGGATGTAAAAAGAGAATGTCTGTGATGTTGTGAGAAGTTGATTTAAAATTAAAGTGGTCAAATTGTGTGTTTGGATCCAAAACATGACTTAATTTAAGTTTTACATTTCTTATGAAAGTTTGCAAGTGTGAATGATGTGTAATACTTCTTTAGCAAGGTGTAATGTCTTGATTGTTTTATTAATCTCTTTTGATTGTATTGAACTATTGTATACTAAATTATTCATATCATATTTCATCTAGTCTAAGGATTACAAGAGGGCATTTATAAATCTAAAAGAAGTGTTGACAATTTTCTCAATTTTGGTGTATCTTGATTACATTCAACCTTTCATTTTGCATATAGATATTTTTGATATTAGTCTTGAAGATGTATTGATCTTCAACATTATCCCATTGCATACATTAATTATATATTACAACTAGCGAAAGTGAACTACTTTATGATAAATGAGTGTTTAATACCATTATCTATGGATTTTTTAAATGAGGATTCTTTGCCGTTGGCAGTTGTTATACTTAATGTTTAGTGTCTACAAGATATAGAGCAAGATTTATCTTTTCTTGATGAAGTTCACGAGGCTCAAAAGATTGAGCTATAAATCTGAAGACTTCGAGATGGGTTTGAGGATCTTGCATCACTTGTTAATGACTTGCCATTTTGGCATTTACATTCTCAATATCGATCTTCTTTATTTTGTAGGAACGAATCCTAATGATCATTTATGGCTAGTGGTGCCTTTTGTTTTTATTCCATGGTTTCTTTATGCCTACTATGATTCTTTTGTTCTATACGGGCATATAGGATATTGTTGTGTGACCGAAAAGTTATTCAGGTTTTTCTATTGGTCAGAGATATTACGTGATGTTATTCAATATGTGCATAGTTGCGTTTGGTGCTAAGTTCGTAATACTCACCCTTGTGTCATGAAAGGATGGTTAGAGTCAATTGCAATTTCCCGTCCATTTGAGTTGGTAGTGTTTGATTTTATGGGACCTTTTCCACGATTGACTACTGGCAATGAGTATATTATTATTGCTTTTGATTATTTGATTCATTGGGTGGAAGTTAGTGCTCTTGCTAGCACCTTTACAATTGCTATTGCATACTTCCTTCTCAATCGAGTAGTGTTTCAACATTCTTGTTTGGAGTGGATTCTTTCAGATAATGGTTCCATATTTATGGCTAAGGCATTTTATATTTTGACATTTCGGTTGGGGATATGCCACACTTTCACGAGTGTTTATTATCCACAGTTAAATGGTTTAGTGGAATGACTCATTTGGATATTCAAAGGAATGATCGCGAAGTACATGAACTTTTAGTATTTGGATTGAGATGGTTATTTGCTTTTTCTTCGGTATGCATATGTTATAGGGGTGTAGCGTTCTGTTAATGCTTCACCATATAAACTCTTATATGATCATGATCTAATATTACCAACAAAGCTGGGTTTACCTTTGTGATTGCCATGAACTACCGATGGTAAGTCGTGGGATTAGTATTTGACGAGCATTCTTCCACTTGTTCAAGTCGAGTTTGCCAAACACTTAGGCCAGGTACAAGTGGGATAACAATAGCGCTATAACTCCCATCATTGTCCACTTGCGGAGTACAAAGTGGATGATTTGGTGTTAGTCTGTTTTCCTCATCCTATAATACATGGTTTATCTAAGGGGCTCCTTGCTCAGTGAAAA